CTACCTACTGTCTTTAAATAGAACCACGATAATGTGTGCACAGCCGCTAGGATAATGGTGTTCTGTGGTGCACATGCCTGTTTGGTTTAAACGATCGAGTGTAAAATACCTATATATAAGTATAAGAAAAAAATTATAGTCTTTACTAGCTGTCCCGGCAAACGTTGTTTTGCATTAAAATAAAAAAAAAAATTAGGGGTGGACTACCCCTAACATTTAGGGGGATGAAAAATAGATGTTGGCCGATTCTCAGACCTACTCAATACGCTCACAAAATTTTATATATAAGATGTATATATATTATAGTAGTATATATATTATACTTTTATATATAAGATGTAACGTTGCTGCTGCCGTCCCATAACACATGTTTAAGATACAAATGCATATTATTACTCGACCATAGCCTTGCTACTTCAATTTACTACATGCGCTACATATTATTCTATCTAGATTGTTTTTGTTGGTCTGTGGATTAAATACTAAATTGTACAATAACGAACTATGTTCTAATGTTTATAACAAGTTCCTATTAAATAAATATGGTGTTTGAACATTATTACATTGTATATTTTTGGACCTACATGTCATTGTTTACATTATGCACATCACTAAGTTATTATAGCATTATGATGTGATTAAACTTGAACGTAAACAAAAATTATCTAACGGTGAATTAGACTGAATTATACATAATAAAAATTAAGTCACATTAAGTTCATTAAACTATGTGTACTGTTAATTTAATTCCGCCTATAAATTCTAATAATGGCGGAATTAATCAAATCATCTACTAAAGATGAAATATAACAAATTGATTAACTTACCCTTAATACTTTTGACGGTACACTGTGTTTATAAACAAAATTTGTATCTCTATAAAGAAAATTTATCAAAAAATTTATTTAAATTTAATACGAAATTAGTGCAAACTTGTTTAATCCTGCACTTATCAATATTGGAAATAATCAACTAACGGTCAATAAACTAATTCCACAATAAAAGAAAAACATATTGATTAATTATTATGAACAAAAACATCTTGAAATTCATTGAACTCTAAATTTAAAAACGATTTGTTTAATTCCGCCATTACTAATGGCGGGATTTATTAAATTAATGCTCATTAATTGACATAATCGTATGTAGAATTAGAAAATTGTGTATGAATCATCTACAACAAAACTATTGTCGTTAATTATAACGGCATGAACTTTAACTGTTTCTAAAGCATTGGTTTTTTTCGAACTATTTTAATGCTATTGGCCGCAGCCGTCCTTTGCAGCTTCACCGAACGATAATGGTTTTTTTTTCGGACTACTCTAATGCTGTTGGGCGTAGTTGGCCTTTACAGCTTCACCGAACGATAGGGGGCGAGTGCAGATGGCACTCCAAACACGCGGAAGGACTTATAGAGCTGCTGGAAGGCCAACTCCCGCCTGACGGATACGACTTTAGGCAGGAGTATTACGACTAATTAAAAATAATAGAAGACATGTTTTTTTTTAATTAATGTGCAAACAGTTGTCATATTAATTATAACAATATTGCTACATTCAAAATGGATGATTAATCTAAAGTTAATTAATGAATATTAATTATCATTAGCATGGAACACATTTATTTAAGTATATTTTTCTAACGCTTAAATGGGACTTTTACGATATTCGTTGAGTTTGACTAATCGTGAGCTGCACTGTTTCTGAGTTATATAGGGTACTAACAGTTTCCCGTTACTTACTGTAATTCTGATAAAAGATGGTCCGAAGCGGGCATCCGCTTCGTGACACAATCTTGATGTCAAATTACAATAAGATGTTGTTGCGGTCTCTTTGACAGGACTGCCTGCTGGCCGGTTATAAGACGTGATTAGGACAGACGGGACAATTGAGAAGATAGAGACGACAGGAACAAATACGGACGACAAGATAGAAATTTTACTAATTATATTTTACTTTTAAAACAATATCTCTTCTTTCATTTCAACGACTTCGGCCGACCAGTGGACCGTTCAGATGTTTTTTTCGGACTACTCTAATGCTGTTTGCCGCAGCTGGATTTTACAGCTTTTGAAGATAGGGGGCTGCAGATGGCACTGCAAACCAAAGGAAGGACTTACAGAACTCCCGCCTAACGGATACGCCTTTAGGCTGAAGGCACCGCTCAGATCATCGTAATTTCGATCCCCGTTTGAATTGGACGGGGGATCGATCGGAGGGCTTCATTAAGATCCGTTCTGCCGTGTTACATATAGATATAGTTTCCGCATTTATAATAATAATTCAATTCTTTAAAAACTTAATACAATGATAACTTAATATAAACAACAAATAGTTTTCAAATTACTAAGAATGACGAACAAAATTTTATACACATCATTAATCATTATTACATTCAATAGATTTCAACCGTAGTGATAAATTATTTATCGTTTCACTATGGATCGATAATTTATGTATTTACATTATCACTATTTAATAAGAAGAAACTGATTGAATTGAATTTATCGTTAAAATTCTTACATTTAATAATTAGTACGAATATTTTCATGGCAAAAGACGCTAGCGTGGACAAAGCTACGGGATAGTAAGGATATTCTCACGGTAATAACGCTAGCATAGACCCAGCTGCGGGTAGTACGGATATTTTCACGATAACAGACACTAACGTGGACCCAGCTGCGGGATAGTATGGATATTCTCACGGCAACAGTCGCTAGCGTGGATAAAGCTGCGGGAAACTGTTAGTAAATTATAATCTAATACATTATTTAACCAAATATCTTCAGATTACATTCTTCAAAATCATTATCAACAAAGAACCAACTTTATTAAATTGGTCAAAATAGGTTATAAATCATTATTAATATGTTGTAAACCAAATATTAATATAATGATTCTTAAATAATAAATATATTTTATTAATAATAAAGAAATTTTATTAAATGCCAATAATTAAGTGAAGAATCAGTTTAAACTTAAACAATTATATTTCGTATATTTTAACAAATGGCACAATAATGAACAAACATTATATGGCATTATAAATGGAATGTTAATTATATATGAATGTTATATTAAATTGAAATGAATATATATTATAGTATAGGGGACAAACGAGCTTGCGGCTCCTCTGATGATAAGTGATTACCGCCGCCCATGAGCACCCGCAACACCAGGGGAAATGCAAGTGCGTTGCCGGCCTTTTAAGAAGTAAGCTCTTTTCTTAAACGTTTCAATATCGTATAAAATTATAAACATAAAGAGACGTATAAATAATTAATTAATTTAGATAATTCTTTATTAAATTAAATGTACTTTTCGAGATTGTTTATTAAATATGCAAATGAATAGAGTACTTCTTTTATCGACGCCAAAAATAAATGTTAACTTTTATTTACTGGTTTAATTTTATTTAAAGCTATATCAAGTACTTTATATAACAAAGATTAGCATATTTATTTATTTTTTGGAATGGCAAAATACTGACAGCCCACCTGATGGTAAGTGACCGTCGCCTACTTACGTGACCATCACGTTACCATACGACGCCCGTGATATCATTCATGCCTCCGAACTTACGACGTTCTTACAATGTATGGAAGAAATTAACTCTTTATTGAGCATATATATTATAAAAACATAATTTAATGGAATGCATTTTATAACCTTAAATTAGAATGTTCACATTAAAATGAACCTTAAGTAGTTTAAGGTTAGAATTAATTTCCAATGTCAGTTTTTTCGCGCGCTTTTTCACGCTACTTAATAAATGGGGATACGTGCATAATCTTGATACTCAACCATAGACAAGTTTGCATAAAAAAAAATGTATTCATAATGCGTATAAATTTTGTTTTTTAGTTAAGTATAGTCTGAAACATTTAACATTAAATATGACAACGGAATATTCGAAGACTTTTTTAATATTTCAAACCTGCGAACATCGGAAGTGAAGCGGTGTACTAATCCGCTATACCACCTAGGTCGTCGAACTATGGAAGTACCAAGTCTTTTAAGGGGTAGAGGGGTAGGAGTGAGAAGATGTAATGAGGTTGATTAGGGGTTTTTTTTTGGACTACTCTAATGCTGTTGGCCGCAGCTGGCCTTTACAGCTTCACCGGACGTTAGGGGGCGGTGCAGATGGCACTCCAAACCCGCGGAAGGACTTATGGAGCGGCTGAAGGCCAACTCGTGTCTGACGGATACGACTTTAGTCTGAGGGCACCACTAGGGATTCGAACCTCGGCTGAGGCCGTGGTAATTTCGATCCCCGTTTGAATTGGACGGGGGATCGATCGGAGGGGTCGATCAGGGGAAAGAGAGAGACGAAAACTTGTATCTGGCTACACATAAAATTAATAACTCGCGTCTTATAAACATGAAAATCATCGTTGCTTTTTCCTTCATCCCATTATTAGAATTTCCTCATAACTTTGGAAATACTAATCAAAATGTCGTGTGAACTATGAACCCGGAATATTATTAAGGTTTAGAATTTCGCAATTTCATACACCTCATTGATATCGCATCTTCATACATTTAATTGTGTACTATTTTCTTGAAACATAATTACGATTAACCTAATACCATAAACAAGAAATCATGATTGCTTTGCTATCATACCATTGTTAGGAAATTTCCTTATAAACATGGAAATATTAATCAAAATTTCGAGTGAACCCGGGTATTAATAAATAGTTTTTTTTTTTTATTAATAATGGGTTTGCGCTTGGTCTTACCTCATCTGATGGTAAATGATGGTAAGACCTAGGATGTAGCGCGCTTACCCAGAAGATATCTATTCACCATAGACTTGAAGAATCCGGGGTTGTATTTCTCCGGGAACACAAAAGCTGGAAGTGTGTTCCACTCTTTGGCAGTGTGTATTAGTTTAAGTTTAGATTTCAAAAAGCAGGTCTACTCTCAATATGGCCTTTATCTAATCTAATTATGTACCATTATTTTGAAATAATCACAAACAATTGAATGAATATCAAAAGCATGAAGATCCAAATTGCTTTGCTATAATCCCATTATTGAGAGATTTCCTCATTACCATGGAAATACTAATTAAAATGTCAAGTAAACTCGGGATATTAATAATGTTTAGAAGCGACTAACTTATATTTTAGTTAACAGTCCGTCCAGCTCCAACACTTCGGGTAGTTCGATGGCTTCCAATCTGATTGATGACGGGTTGAATGGAAACTGGACTGAGAATATCATCTTCGAATCCATTAATAGGTTTTGCTGTAAAAATATATATAATTATCATTAGAAATATAAATAAACTGTATTCAAAACAGCTTCCATATAGAATAGTAATATATTAGTATTATTAGTTGGGACGGGTCATCGGGGTCCCTACAATATGGTTGAGTGCATCAGTGATCAGTGGCTGTCTCACTCGTCATGCTCGTAAACGGATGTTGCTTGTAGGGACTGGCCTGCTCTGATAACTGTGACTGATTTATTTTGTTACCCACTTTAAGACTGGGTATCAGCTTGTTTGACATTTCAATCACACTTACCTCATCCTTCAACCGAAACATCTTACAAAGAAAGCTGCTTGACGGTTGAAATAGATGAGACCGAGGTACCCAGAATTTGTATAAATTTTATCTCTACTTACCGGTTCCTTGTCCGCGTTTGGTCCAGCTTTCTCCTGCATCTTCCTCTGTATCTCATGAATGAATTCGCGGGTCACTTTCACCTCGTACTCTTCAGCTGGTGTGTACATGTTCAGGATCTGGAAACATTACGACGATAGCAATTAAGCATACGACTGGCCTGATGGTCGCTGACAACCGCTGAATATAATCGAATTGTATTTTGTGTGCAAAATGTGCAATTTTAAACAACAGGTCAAATCTCAATGTCTATTTATATCTAATATCGTATTTCTTATTACATTACAGAAAATTCAATTTTATAAAATGACAAAAAAAATACAATAAACAAAACTTTCCAATGTCCGTCGTTTGTTGCAGCAACCGATGGAGAGAAGTGATTAGATTTGAATTGGTACGCGCGTGTAATGATTTTTTCGGAAGAAATTTTACTTTAAATATACAAATATTTATTCATTTTCAATACAAAATAATATAATAAACTTACATATACATACATATATATGAATATATATACAATCCCACATACATACGACCGTAATACTACTATTACGATAACTTAAGTAAATAGTGGTTTTTGATACCTAATTTGAAGCTCTGCAGTAATTTTAGTCTTACAGATTTTAATTATTTTTATATTATTTATACTTTGTTTTAAATAAGAATAAAATTGGTTAAAAAGAAGTCACTGTTTTGCGGGAATAGATCTGTGTTAAAACGTTCGAAGGGTTAAACTGAATAAATCTATAAGAAAGTCAGTTCTATATTTCAGTAAATATAGAATATGTAGTTAGTACCTTGCTGGTGTACAATTCAAGAGTACAAAAAGAGCGAAAACAGGCGGAAGGGAAGCGAAATAATAATAATAAACCTGGACAAATCACAGAGCGTCCTTTATTTAAGCTAAGTGTAGTTTGTTTTATGGATACTTGACAAGAGATGGAAATACCTAAATATATATTTTTTTGTACATAAGTATATATAATAATACAATACAAACAATGATACTCATGAATACAATTGTTTGCGAGGAATTGTACCCGGAACCATTCTCTATACGTATAAATAAAATTGGAGTGTCTGTTTGTAATGTTGAAATAACCGTTCTTTACTACATGCATATGAATATAAATACGGTACATATACCAAAATAACATTTTTTACAATTTTTGTCTGTCTGTCTGTTTGTTCCGGCTAATCTCTGAAATGGCTGGACCGATTTTGACGTGACTTTTTTTGGCAGGTAGCTGATGTAATAAGGAGTAACTTAGGCTACTTTTATTTTAGAAAAAATAAAGTAAAATTCCACGCAGACAAAGTCGCGAGTACAGCTAGTAAACAATATTATATCGATCTATGAATATCAAGACTAGACATATATACTCAGATATTGCCAGCTACACATATATTGACAGCTGAAAATCTGTGTTTTGTTCCCTAAACAATGTTCCACGCTGAGTTTCGACCTTTTTGTATTGCTACAGATCACACATAATAACACACTCGTAAATCTTATGTCGTATTATGTATTGTCTATTCTTATGAACATGTTGTGTGTGATTAGTAACAAACAAATAAACGATATATCTATCTATCTGTTCTATTTAATCCGCTTAACCGTTGAGACCGTCAAAATAATGTTTCTAACTATCCCATATAATATAATAGTCGTGAGGGTATTAGGGTATTATCATTGTAGTTTTACCTTGCAGACTTGCATGGCGGTGAGGTCTGCACACATCTCCACCGTGCTCTGTACGTCTGCCATCGACTTCCTGGCTTGTAGCAGCTGCACGGCTTGCGTGATAGGCTTCAGGACACCCAGGATCTCTTCCACCTGAGGATAAGACGACACAAAAACCAAAATATATTTATCCATATAGTCGTATTACAGACTCTTATGATATGTTAAATCTACCGATAATTAGGAATGCTTCCGAGCTAAGAGGAACTGACAAGAAACTCTCTTATTCTTTTCAAACTAGCTTGGACGTAATTATTTTTAAAACTTTGTTTATAGACAACGATAGAAACCATGTGAGTAGAAATAGAAATAATCTTTATTCAAATAAACTCAATGTAAACACTTTTGAATAGACATATGTTTGGACACTACCACTCTTTCGGAATGCAGACTTATAACAAGAAGAATGAGCAAGAAACTTGGGGTTAGAATAGAAATAATAGAATAGAAAATCATTTATTCAAATAAACTTACATTGAAGCACTTTTGAATAGTCATAACATTTTTTTTAATCTACCGCTCATTCGGAATGCTGTCTAGTCACAAGAAGAACAAGCAAGAAACTTATGTGTTGCTCTTTTAAATAATTTATTCTTACTTACAATTTAAGTTTAAGTGTGTGAATACAAACCACCGATTAGAACTAATTCAATGAAATAATAAAATAGAAAAACATTAAATATACAACAACTGGTTAAACAATTAATAAGAAAATCAGTCATAGTGATTAGAGCAGACCAGTCCACACCAGCAGCACCCGTTCACGAGTATGACGGATGAGCCACCATTGCTCTTATGTATAAATTTTATTTTAAATAAATACAGAGTAACAAGTAGGAGGCATGCGATAATCATTAGCTTATGTCAGTTCAATTACATAATATAACTATACTTACACTCTTCTGTCCGTACTCGGCCAGGTGCTCCTTAATCCAGGTCTCCAGGTGGGAGATGTTGTACCTGATCTGCAGACCCTTGGCCCAGCAACACAGGTCTTTGCGTAGTAGCAGCTGGTTCAGACTGTACGCGCAGATGTAGTAGAATAACTGCGGAATAATAAAAACATAGTTATAAATTTACGACTGTTATCCTAGATGGGGTAGTTAGAGGCATTGTTAAATGTTGACACGTTGTGAACGCAACACTTAATACGCCTTCATCGAATCAATTAATTCATTCATTCCTTCAATCACTTCAATCGATTTCAGATTTTACAAGAGAGTCGGTCAAAAATATAAATTTATAATACAATACACAAGGCTTTTTTTATTTCTTTATGAATTTCCTCATTGATGATGATGATGATGAGTCAAAAGATCCCAGATACGGTCCTCAGTATATTTCGGGCCCTTTGACCGACGTTGATATTTAATTTTGACACAATTGCCCAGTTCCCCAGAGTTAGACGTCGACGTAGTTCCTCATTAAGCGTCGAACACGAACCTGCTTGAATATGGTAACCCTGAGGGGCTGGTCGACGGCGAAGGTCTGCAGATGTTCGTGGGTGAGTGCGAGCTCCTGCTTGAGCCTGGCGGGCCCGGCGGCGGGTGGGGGGTGTGCGGGGGGCGCGGGGGAGGGCCGCGCGGGGCCCGACAGCCCGCTGATCTCCTCGTGCTCCAGGATCGCCGGGATGATCAGCCGCTCCAGCTGACGCTCCAGCAGGTGGATCAGACCTGCGTGTGCAGCATGCCCGGTTACTCCCAAAGGGTATAAGCGGCAGGGATATACAAGTGACTCGGTAACGAACGACTTCGTTCGTTCTATAAGTTTCGCTGAAGCCGAATAATTTCATTCGAGATTCAATAGGTTCAAAGTAGTTACATTAAATATTGAGGAAGGGGTTCAATCATTTCAAAAAGATAAAAGGATCATCATCATTTAGCCCGGAAGACGTTCACTCCTAGACGAAGGCCTCCCCCAGAAATCTCGACGACGATCGATCCTGCGCTGCTCGCATCCATTAGAGTAGAATAGAATAAAAAATCATTTATTCAAATAAACTTAGTTTAAGCACTTTTGAATAGTCAGCATTTTTTTAAATCTACCTTATATTCGGAAAGCTGTCTCATCTCAAGAAGAATAAGCAAGAAACTTGTGTGTTGCTCTTTTAAACAATCCTTGTAAGTTCACATTTTACAAGTCGAAACGTGTGAATACAAACTACCAACCAGCACTAATTTATTTAGGCTCAAATATAATAATATTAAATCTGTCGTAGTGATAAGAGTATAATATATAGAAGATATAAGAGTACAATATCTTCCGATCCACGATCGTCACTCGAAGACTTTACTGCACCAACGGCCATCTGCCCTGCCCATTGCCACTTCATTAATAAATATTAAAAATAAAAGGTTATCTTGAGTTAATTTAATTTCACTAACCTTGGTATATCCACACGGCGATATCGCTGAGTACCTGCCTATACTCCGAAAGATCGAATATCCTCAGACACTGTTGATTCTGACGCGGTGTGTTCGTGTTCTGGTATACAGAGTCCCCGCTATACTGTCGTAGATTGTTCAGTAATCTGCGAAACAGAAATAAATTCCACATTATTATGTAAAAAAATACATAAAGAAAAATCAATAACCCTGGATCCTATACATCATCATTCACGATCAATCTCATGACGCCATCTACTCCCATACCTAGTACCCATAACACAAGCTCTGCTTAGCTTGTCTTATGGGTACTGAACAACTGATAGAAATATGGCGGTCCTGCACCATGCGTTTTTTCAGAAACTCTTTGTCACGCACAACCACATTGTTGAATCACCTTCCCGAAATGATATTTCTGAACCAATAAGATATTGAAACCTTTAAGAAGAGACCTTTAATATCATCTGCTTATTCCTTGTACCATTCATTTGCGGTCGGCGTAATATATTTTTCTCTTCCATTCATCCCTGTTCACAGTCATCTCGTTATTTACTCCCTTTCTTGCCATATCATCTTTCACACAGACCATGTATCTCTTTCAGCCTTCCTCTGCCCTTATAACCATCCACATTCATATGTAAAACTTTCTTTAAAATATTCTCATCATTCCTATGCAAGAAAAGGGCTTATTCCTTCTTAAAAGGTCAGCAACGTACTTTAAATTCCTCTGCTGTTGCGTATGATATATTCCTTTGGGCGACAGTCATCACTTACCATCAGGTGAGCCACAAGCTCGTTTGTGCTATAAAAAATAATAAAAATAGGTTTAACATTTTACTGACCTGAGCATATTGGCTAACCACAAAGCATTATACTCCACGCTGTCGGCCCGTCTCTTCAGGGTTTTCTTGACGCCAGTCCTGACTGCCTTCATCAGCTGGTGCATCTTGGGCTCATCGTCCACGTGGTCCATATGACGCAGCATCATGAACAGGATGTACGCTGGCAAGCCGGGTAGGAAAGTCACTGCTATCTTGGGTTTCAGATCTGGAGATTATGAGATGAGAACGTCGTTACAGAACTGTTATGGTATGTACTGAGCGATGCCCAGCTTAAGGATTTGTTTAAGTGCCTTATTTGGAAAATAAAAAAAAAACAACCACAATAAAAACAGACAAAAACCAAAATAAAAAGAAAAAACATTAAATAAATCCTGATTACATATAGTACTACTTCTTAGGTTAAGCTGTAAATATGGTATGAACCATAATATAGCGTTGTTTTAATTTTTTTGGAATCTCAATTATTTACATAATACAAAACGAAGTCGCTTCCGCTGTCTTTGCCCTTAGATCTTTTAAACTACGGAACGGATTTTAACACATAGCCGGGGCGTGTAGCTAGTTTATAATAATAATAAAAAAACATCACGCATGCTATCTCTATGGAATAATAGCTGCAATGAACATCCATGACAATAAATGCAGTGTTAGGCCACCAGTGCTATATCGTTGTAGCTCGTTCGTGTACTGATACAGGTTCTGTGCAGTACAGTAAACATAACTGAAATAGGTAAAATCTTAAAATATTAAAGGGTCAGTAACTGTCTTGGAACCTAAGTGATCTCACAGTACGGTTTCAGAGGAGTTTCCTCCTGGATACAATTAGTGGAATGAACTACCTGCTGAGGCTTTCTCACGAGACTACAATACATACCCGTGATGAGTTTCTTTATGATGGTCCCCTCATCTTGGACCTTATATTCGAACATGCCCAAGTATTCGCGCTCCTTCTTGCGCGTCACGGGCGCCATCTGTAGTGTCAGCGGCGCGTTTGGTGGCGCCACTGTGTCTGAAAAAAATAGTAATAAAAATAAATATATCCCCTATATATATATATATATATATATATATATATATATATGGCACCAGCTTAATAGCTACGTTAAGTTAGTATTAATTACACAATAAATGACCAAAGTATTAATGATTTTTTTTTTTTTCTCAGCTTTTGCTGGTTTTCTCCACACTTACGGGCCGAAACCAAGTAAGTGCATAGTGTGTGTATGTGTGTGTGATGTATGAATGTATGTGTGAGTGTGTGTGTACTTACTGTGTGCGTGGTGTGACTGGTGTTATATCCTTTATTATTATTAATAAAAATACCTGTATTTTCCAAGATGTCGCTAACATCGTCGATGCCGACTTCCTTCAGCTTATTGACCAACAATCGTATCTGGTTCTTGTACCGGCGGCAGCTCTCCGATAATTTGTCGACGCGTTCCTGAAAATAAAATGTGTTTAAATATTATTCACGCGGGTAATTTTTTTTATTGGTGGATATGGGGCGTCTATTGTCAGTTGCTGAGACCTGCAATACTGCGACCTGTATTGTGCTCGGCCTATTATTTATTTTTTCGTCAAACAGGCGAGTTAATCGAAAAGCATGTATAGTGCACACGAGCTTAACTTTTCTAAAAAAAAAAAGAGATTCCACTTTTATACCTGTATATTCTAAAAAAATAAAATATATTTTATAGGTACTTTTATTATTGAGGGTTTTGGGCTGTTGTTAGGTGCTAAGACCTGTAACACTGCGCCCTGTATGGATCTATTGTGCTCGCCCTTATTCAAAGTTCGCTACCTAGACCCGTGAGGGACAAGAATTGAAGGATATTCTTACGAGATACTGATAATGCTGACCTACACGATTGTTGTAAACCCAAATGTAGTCAAATTGACAGCGTCAGTGATTTACTTTCGACGATCGCAGATTCGATTCCAAGCACGGTGTAAATATATATATTCATGAGTATAAATTTGTATTCAAAAATAAGTATTTAAGTATTTATATCAGTAGTCTAGTATCCATAACACAAGCTATGCTTAGCTTGGGACTCCAAGGGGATCGTATAAGTTAGACGTTAAAACGTTTTTATTAATTTTATGCAAAAATTCTAACAGTTCCATGATGTTCTAACCGTCACCTATGCACAGAAAATGCACTACGGACATCACGTTAACACGTGACACTAGCGATACCATTCAGTTTTTACGGACTACTCTAATGCTGTTGGCCGCAGCTGGTCTTTACACCTTCGCCGACGATAGAGGAGCGAGTGTAGATGGCAGTCCAAACCAAAGGTAGGACTAATGGAGCGGTTGAAGATCAACTTTCGCCTGACGGATACGATTTCACTCTGAGGGCACCGCTAGGGGTTCGAACCTCGGCTCAGGCCGTCGTAATTTTGATCTCCGTTTGCAGTGGACGGGGGATCGATCGGACGTTCATGCATCGCCATTCTGAATAACTAATAATTAGTAAACTATTATAAATATATGTATAATACCTGCAACGCCAAGCTCTCCGCTGCCAAGCGTATGATTTCATTCTGCGAGAACTCCAGCGACTTGTTCTTGGGCTCTTGACTGAGGTCCGCACTGAGCAATCTATGACAGAAATGTCTTATTATTTACGTCCTGACTTAAATACAGATATATGTCAATTTATAGACTTGACGGTGTATTTTCTAACATACAAAAATATAGAACAAATTTTAACAGTTTAGTAGAGGTTAGGTCCTTAAATCTATTGTAATAATTCCAGTATTTTATTAGTTTCTTTCAAATTAAGAAAATAGTCCGAAAGAAACAAAACAAATAATAACCTAAATAAAATTAGACATTTAACCATTCTAACAAATTCTGATCAATTTCTTATTACATAGCATAGCATAAAATAGCAGAATAATGGTTATATACTGTTTGGCAAATAAAAAAAAAGTAGTTAATTCATTGAGAGCTAATTACACAGTGAGATGAGCTCTAAGATAAGCTATTTGTTACATAGTGGATCTGAGAAGAGTCCTTAGTTATACTAGTTTCGAGAAGAGCCGCATATTAGACTGTGGCTCTGAGAAGAGATCTAGGTTACACTATGGCTCTAAGAAGAGCCGAGGGTTACACTGTGGCTCTGAAAAGAGCCGGTTGTTACACTTGGCTCTGAAAGAGCTCTGAGTTACACTGTGGCTCTGAGAAGAGCCGGTGGTTACACTGTGGCTCTGAGAAGAGCCGGTGGTTATATTCTGGCTCTGAAAAGAGCTCTGGGTTACACTGTGAAAGAAGAGCTCTGAGTTACACTGAGGCTCTAAGAAGAATCGGGGCTACACTGTGGCTCTATGAAGGCTCTGAGAAGAGCCGGTGGTTACACTGTGGCTCTGTTAAAAAGCTCTAAGAAGAGCCAAGGGTTATACTAAGAAGTGGCTTTAGAAGAGTCCTGGATTATACTGTGGCTCTTGAAGAGCCCTATTCTGGCTCTGAAAAGAGCTCTGGGTTACACTGTGGCTCTGAGAAGAGCCCTGGGTTACACTGTGGCTCTGAGAAGAGCCAAGGGTTACACTGTGGCTCTGAGAAGAGCCAAGAGTTACACTGTGGCTCCGAGAAGAGCTCTGGGTTACACTGTGGCTCTGAGAAGAGCTGGTGATTACACTGTGGCTCTGAGAAGAGCCAAGGGTTACACTGTGGCTCTGAGAAGAGCCAAGGGTTACACTGTGGCTCTGAGAAGAGCCAAGGGTTACACTGCGGCTCTGAGAAGAGATGGTGATTACACTGTGGCTCTAAGAAAAGCCGAGGATTACATTGTGGCTCTGAAAAGAGCTCTGGGTTACACTGTGGCTCTGAGAAGAGCCAAGGGCTACACTGTGGCTCTGAGAAGAGCCGGTGGTTACATTGTGGCTCTGAAAAAAGCTCTGGGTTATACTGTGGCTCTGAGAAGAGCCGGTGGTTATATTCTGGCTCTGAAAAGAGCTCTGGGTTACACTGTGGCTCTAAGAAGAGCCCTGGGTTACACTGTGGTTCTGTGAAGAGCCAGTGGTTATACTGTGGTTCTGAGAAGAGCCGGTGATTATACTGTGGCTATGAGAAGAGCCGGTGGTTACATTGTGGTTCTGAAAGAGCTCTGGGTTACACTGTAGCTCTAAGAAGAGCTCTAGGTTAAATTGTGACTCTAAGAAGTGTCGTTGGTTACACTGTCTTTGAGAAGAGCTCTATGTTACACTGTGGCTCTGAGAAGAGCCCTGGGTTACACTGTGGTTCTGTGAAGAGCCGGTGGTTACACTGTGGCTCTGAGAAGAGCCGGTGGTTACATTGTGCTCTGAAAAGAGCTTTGGGTTACACTGTGGCTCTGAGAAGAGCTGATGATTACACTGTGGCTCTGAGAAGAGCCAAGGGTTACACTGTGGCTTTGAGAAGAGCCAAGGGTTACACTGTGGCTTTGAGAAGAGCCACGGGTTACACTGTGGCTCTGAGAAGAGCCGGTGGTTACACTGTGGCTCTGAGAAGACCTGGTGATTATACTGTGGCTCTGAGAAGAGCCAAGGGTTACACTGTGGTTCTGAGAAGAGCCGGTGGTTACACTGTGGCTCTGAGAAGAGCCAAGGGTTGAGAAGAGCCAAGGGTTACACTGTGGTTCTGAGAAGAGCCGGTGGTTACACTGTGGCTCTGAGAAGAGCCAAGGGTTACACTGCGGCTCTGAGAAGAGCCGGTGGTTACACTGTGGCTCTGAGAAGAGCCGGTGGTTACACTGTGGCTCTGAAAAGAGCTCTGGGTTACACTGTGGCTCTAAGAAGAGCCCTGGGCTACACTGTGGCTCTGAGAAGAGAGCCTGAAAAGAGCTCTGGGTTACACTGTGGCTCTGAGAAGAGCCAAGGGTTACACTGTGGCTCTGAGAAGAGCCAAGGGCTACACTGTGGCTCTGAGAAGAGCCGGTGGTTACACTGTGGCTCTGAAAGAGCTCTGGGTTACAGTGTGGCTCTAAGAAGAGCCGATAGTTATACTATAGCTCTGAAAGCACTCTGGGTTACACTGTAGCTCTAAAAAGAACTCTAGTTTACATTGTGGCTCTAAGAAGAGTTGGTGTTAACACTGTGACTCTTTTTGTCTCCAAAAAGAGGCGGTGGTTACGCTAGCTAGTGAACGTGTACTTTGAGAAGTTGGTTTTATTCTGTTAAAAGGATGTGGTGTTTCTAGAGGTATATAGGAATAACTAAGTACAATTACAAGACTACTAGTTTCATATTCTCTATGTCTAGCCTTTATCACATAAGTTAATATTTGTCCACAATTAAGTGTTTGACCACAATCTCGCTTGATTACTGTATCGATTTTGATATAATATATAATATTCATACATTACCTTAAATTTACATTTAAAAAAATATTGAATAAACAATGTATAAATTCTTGCATAGTAAATGGTTGAACGGTTGCATTAAAACATTTATTTACAATAAACATTAATAAATAATAAACTTAGAAATAATATAAATAAAAATAATAACTTAAAATAAAAAATCTAATGTCTAATTATTTACACTATGCTAATATTGTTTGTTTGTCTAATCAGTCTGATTAAAATTCAAAGTCAACAGATTCCTAATGACCATCTACACTAATATAATAAAGAGGAAAGATTTGTATGTTTGTAAGGAGTAAACTCAAAACACAACATATAAAACAATTCAATACAACTTTGAAAGTGGTAATAATAATATAAAAGAAAATGAAAATATAGCAGAATGAAAATTTAGCTACATTAAATAATTGTAATAGGAATATTATTGTTAATAAATATATATAGAGTATAGAAATATTATTTTTAGTTTAGTTTACACGTAGCTAAAGAAAAATTAAAGCGAGATAACAATGTTATCTCAAGTAAAATGGAAAGATGAAAGAAAGAAAATCAGGAATAGAAAGTAAAACATTATTTACATTATATATATAACTAGATTAGTACAAAATGAATATGATGCAATATCAGAGTACCTAAAGGTATATTAAAAAGACAGATATACCTATACATACACATATTATATACAGTATATATATAAAAGATGAGAGGAAAGCTAATTTTAGTATTTCTAGATTTTTTATATAATTTTAGGGGACGTAGTTATTTACCAATATTTTTTACATTTTAGCAACAATATCAATCGACATTGGTTAATATTAGCAATGTTTTAAAAGTAAGATTAGCAACCTTTTTCTTATAGATAACCTATATAAGCTTAGCTAATAAAATAGGTAAGATAATAAATCATTTTTAATTCATGTATAAAATTATTTATTTTAATTTAATCTTGTCGTTTTAAATGTAGCAACGTAGCATTAAAGAATCTGTTGTCTTTCAATAGTTATCTAATTAAAATATATCGATACATAATTAGTTACGCAACATCGATAAGATTAGATTCGACGCACTCTACATTCCTAAATCACATTCACAAATCAAACAAAAGTATAATATTGTTTGAATAAATAATTTTTATATTCCTAATTCAAATGAACAAGATTCCAAGTCCTAAAAAGAAGAATACAAATAGTTTATAAAAAAAAAACTATTATTTATATTCATAATTCAAATGAATAATACAAGTTTTAGGTTTTGGACCTTCATAACATTTTGAGCACTGAGCAAGTAACCACTATGTTTTAATTTGTCTGTTATAAATAAAGTACTGTCTCAGACAATGCTTATTTAGTTTTTTTTTTTTTCAAGGATACGTGTAAGACAATTAGTAATATATTGGGACCCTGGAATCTTGTTCTATAGCAACTCGAACAGTATTTTTGGTACTACTACTACATATTATCTACATCTGCCTATCAAAGTGCGCCAAATAAAGAAAAAGTCAAATGAACAAAAATGTCTATGTTGAATAGGAAACTTCTAGGACGAGACGTATTATCACAGAGTTCGCGTAAATATCTTCTCAATGATCTTATATTGGTTTCTTCATCGCTGTAATAAATTAATATAAATATGCTTCTTATATTGACCTCTAAGAGTACAGAGATCTTGTAAAGGTATGGTGGAACACGAGTTGAGCGGTCCAAATACATTCATTTATTGTTCAAGTACGGGATATTTACATATTATATAAATATATATTACATTTATACGTTTTATAAATGCTATAAACTCTAAAATAAAATGTAAAAATATTATATATATATTAAAAATATTGTACTAGTTGTATTTTTTTCAGAAAACTCAATCCAAAAAATACTTAATAATGTAAAATAATATAAATATTAAAAGGACGAATGAACAGGCGAAGTTGCCAGCATCCAGGCCCTTAAAAAAATTAAAAATTAACAAAAAAATACCACTTACTTTTGATACTTCTCATTCTCCTCTCGCAACCTGTCGATTTCACCTTTAGTCTTCATGATGTGCTCCGAGTAGAATTTCTTCTCTGCTGTCAACTCCTCTTGCAGTTGTCTAGCGTGAAGGCATTATTATTAATGTTAGTTAATATAACTCCCTCTAACTACCCCATTCAAATTAGGGAGGAGAAATTGTAGCAAAGAGGCTAGTAGCTCTATTACTAACAATGGATCGAAATAGTTCAACCTCCATGCGGTCACCCGTCAAACCATCGTTGCTACTCCCTAGTGAATATGCCATGATGTGAACTGCTAACTGAATTTCATGGATGTTTGATTGTTTTAAAATTAATGTTTAGTAAATAAAAATGCAATATCTCGATAACCTCTGTTAATTGTAATTTTATTCTTTTTATTATTACGTTTTTACAGCATGGCAACGCACATATTTGTAGGCTGCCAGTTACAATTTTATTTTTATATAGATTTGTACTTATTTCGTGCTCATCCTATCCTTCTCCACTGGTGCCCCGCCAGCATACACCGTTCTGCATGCTGGCAGGGCACCAGTGCATCACTTCAACATTATCCATAAAAAAACCGCTTATCCGTGGATTTACAAGAGTGGGTGTATTCTTTCTTACCTGTTAATACCTTTCTGTGCTTCGTAAGCCGTTGCCAGTTCCCCATCTTCGTTGATGATGTCCACATCTGAACCGTAATTGGACGACGCGAGGGACTTTAGATTCACCGTCTGTACACATAAAGTTTACATTTGTAACACAGCTTGGCCATATTTTTTTTATGTAATTATGAAGAATTTAACAAATACACTTTTATCCCATCTGGGTTATTCTCATTAAGACATACTCATTTATATATTCTTAGAGACATTCTCATTAAGCCATACTCATTTAGATATTCTTAGAGACATTCTCATTTAGACATCATGGGACCGTAACACTTGACATGCCCACATGTCACTCGGTATATTTGAATCCAACGTGACTAGGGGCGAGTCTACCGTCATCTCTCGGCTTATTTTGGTTTTTTATCGGTATTTGTAACACCTGAGAGATTTCGGCCACATTGGAAGATTTTTTTGGTGTGCAAACGTATATAATAAATAACAATATATAAACAATATATAGTATGCATTTATAAAGTTCTTTTATTAAGTAAATACTAATAATGTGTATTAATACAATAATATGTATATAATAAATCATATCTATGCAGACAGAAAAAATATATAATACAAATTAAAGTAGATACCATGCAACAGGAAAAGAATGCATGAAAAATAAAAAAATAAAAAGAGAAATGTAGTAACATTTACATACTCCAATTTTGAATAAACATGTTTCTAAAAATTCAAAATTGGAATACATTTCCACACATACGTACTTCTGAAAAGTATAGAAAAAAAAGTCTACTAAATCCACGATATGCTAGATTCATAAAAAAACATCTATTGATTAATAATCCAATGTGTTAATAAAAAAAATCCAATAAAAATATAAAATTAAAAAAAAACTCCAATAAAAGAAAACATTTCCACTCTATATATTTTTTTCTATTAAATAACAAAAAAATATAAATAAATGATATACAAGCTGGCTCGGTACAGTCATGCAATCATGTTTGCGACTAAAACAAACAATTCCATCTAACTGAAGATTACTCACGACACTTTTGAGCGCTTGGAACCATGGTTTCTGTGGTTGAAACAAATAAATATACATATATTTATATACTATACTATAACATATAATATAAATAACCCTGGACCATTCACACAGTGCCATCTAGTCCAAAACAAAGCAGAAATTGTGTTATTGGTATTAGACAACTGATAAAAATACTTTTAAACATTTTTTTTTTTGTTATAAATTACTAGCTGATCTACTACTTTGTTTGCATTACACTTACATGACATTTACCGATTGTTGATTCAATTTACATAATATCTTTTTAAATTATAGCCTATATGTTATTATGATGTAGGTATAAGCTATATTACGGTAAAATTTCATTAAAATCCGTACAGTAGTTTTTGCGTGAAAGAGTAACAAACATCCATCCAAACTTACAAGCTTTTGCATTTATAATTATAGTAACATAATATGCACAGAATTCTAAGTATACTATAATATATTACAACAATAATAATATCTATAAATTTATTTCTTCTTAGGCAAAATATATATAGAAATAAAAAATATATTAATATTCTAATTCCGCCGACCGTACCACATTTAATTTAGTTAATAAAGTAATCTAAACAAAAAATAAAGGATATTAAATTAAAACAAAAATACGAAAAAATACACTAGACCCAGTACGCGGATCCTTCTATTTATATTCTTGCCTACCTTCTTCTTATGAATGTAACAAGTCCTCGGTATAACAGGCAAATCCATGTACAAAGTTTTCGATATCCGCGTTAGAAGAGGCATAATTACGTATGCCAATTATTATTTAATTAACTACCATGCGACAGTTATTCAGCTAACTGTATGTTAGCGAGAACTGTCTAGATACTGTCAGATAACTGACAGACATATACTCCTAGGTATATATGTATATAATATACAATCTCTCACTGGGTTCCGTTCCTACTACTAGAATGGTATAATGAAGAAACCCAGCCTCGGTGGTCTAGAGGTTTACCACACTGCTTTAATTCCGATGGTCGCGGGTTCGATTCTTCGGACGGTGCAAACATTTGTATTCATGAGTTTGATTGTTTGTAACAATCTGGTGTTTTCTATGTATTTATTTTATAAAAAAAAAATCTAAATATATTTATCAGTTGTCTAGCACCCATAACGCAAGCTCTACTTAGTTTGGGACTAGATGGTGCTGTGTAAATTGTCCAGGAATATTATTATTATATTATTTACTGTGATAACATTTATTGATGTAAATATCGTTATAAGTATCCTGGTCACATGTCGATTGAGCCGTAATAACAAATCAAATCAAAATATCTTTATGTAGATCTCTTACACACTATTATGATATGTCAAGTCTACCGTCATTTCGGAGAGCTTTCGAGCTAAGAAGAACTGACAAATAACTCTGCTCTTATTCATTTCAAATGTACATGATTATAAGAATACCGATTAATATTTAAATTCTATTAACATATTAATAAATTAATATATATTGAAATAAATTAAAAATACATAAATAATATTATCTATCGTATCTATAATATTTACATATATTACCAACTATGATAACAGTTTAAAACATTAATATTTTATTGTTTTGACGACGAAATTGTTTTTTTCGGATTACTCTAATGCTGTTGGCCGCAGCTGACCATTACAGCTTCACCGGACGATACGGGACGACTGCATATCGCTCTCCAAACTAAAGGATGTACTTATGGAGCGGCTGAAGGCCATCTCCTGCCTGACGGATACGACTTTAGTCTGAGGGCACTGCTAGGGGTTCGAACCTCGGCTCAGGCCGTCGTAATTTCGATCCCGTTGAATTCGGCGGGATCGATCGGAGAGGATCGGATGATAGCGACCATGGAAGACTTTTACGAAGGCAAAGACCATACATATTTATATATTTATATATATTTGAAAGTCCGTTAAAAACAATCCAATATATAGAACCCAAATCTAATATTTACCTTATAACGATTACACGAAACACATTAAAAAATATATATACTTTCATATTTGAAAACAATAGGATTGTTCTATTTATGCGTTTAAAAATGAGTTTTATTGCAAAGAAATAAGTTTGAAAATCAAATAATACGGACGGAGTGTTTTTAACGGATAAGTATGAATGTACCTGCTTACTCGTCTCTCCGTCCATGTAACACGCACGAAACTACTGTTTACTCAGATAATGTGGACAAACATTACAGTTTTAGGGTTCCGCGGTCGATTATACATAAGTAATCTATCAAAAATATCTCTCAACTAAAAATTTGTACAGGTAGAAGTAAAAATCATTACATTTTATACAATGATAAGTCAAAATCATTACATATTTATATAATGATAAGTCATTCGTTCTGTAGCAATTAAATGCTACATAATATTAACAAAAAACACCTCTAACTAAAATTTTGTATAGTGCAAATAAAATTCTAATTATTGTGACTTATCATTATATAAAAACCTAACGACTTTGATTTATCATTATATAAAAATCTAAAAACATGTAATTATCATTATATAAAAAAATAATGTTTTTGACTTATCGTTATATAAAAATCCAATTATTTTGAATTGTGAAATATTTTTGTTAACATTTTGTAACATATCTATATATATGACATATCTGTGAAAAATTCACCCTAATTCAACCAACAGTTTTTCCATGGAAACTTAAAACACAAGCAGACTGTTCTTTCCCAGTCGCGATTTTATTATATGTAAAGAAATAGATATTAAATGTATTTTGTTTCATTTTATTCTTCAATAATTTCGCATTAAAAATCCCACGGGATCAAAATTCGATTTCCGTATTTATAACTATGACTGTTTGTTCCAGTATGGATAAGTACAATTATTTAAAAGAGCAACACGCAAGTTTTTTGCTCGTTATTGTGGAAAAAATTTAATATTAATGAATTATTACTAAAATTGTACTGTCTAAGCTTATATAATAGTTTATTTCTTATGTTTTGTATTCAATTCATTATAAAAATGTATTCGACTGAAGGACTTGTATCCATGGTCATGAATAAAGCATTATTAAAAATAAAAAATTAAAAAATTTGCTCGTTATTCTTATTACGAGACAGTTTTCCGAATGAGCGGCAAATAAACAAAATATGATTATTCAGAAGTTTAAGTTAATTTGAATAAAGAACTTTCTATTCTACAAATGACTTCTGATTTTATTCAAAAATATATTGTAACATACGGAACCAAATGTAAATAATTAATTATCTAAGATATTCGTTTATCAGTATAAACTCAAGATATGCCAACATATCGCGTGTCATACGACATACAACAGGAAATAAATAATCACAATAAAATTTTATAAATATACATTTTTTTATATAACAACGAGCAAGCGGCAAAAAGGCAAAGACTAGCAACTCACAATCTACAATTCCCCTGGAGTTAGGGGTGCTCATGGGCTGCGGTAATCATTCACCATTAGGAGTATATATAATAGACGAAAGAATATAGAAGAAAAATTAACAGACGGTAGGGAAAAATTTATAAAAAAAAAATTACGTTCATAACCTGCTAAAATATCATACATTAATAAATTATTTTTTAATTAGAATTAGAATAGAATAGAACAAAAAATTCATTATTCAAATTATGTTTTATAATAAAACTTATTTAACTTATTTTTTAAACCGCTCATTCTGAAAACTGCCTCATCCAAGAAGAACGAACAAGAAATATGCGTGTTGCTCTTTTCTTAAGAGTTTCTTAAGGGTCGCGCACACGACACCCCTGGTGTTTCAGGCGTCCATAGACTACGGTAACCGTATACCAGATAGGCCGAATGCTTATTTGCCACTGTCGTAGTATAAAAAAAATACATACAACCCTAAATTTTCGCCATTCTATCCCTATTAGAAATATTTATATATTTTTGTAACCGTATACCATCAGATAGGCTGAATGCTTATTTGCCACTGTCGTAGTATAAAAAAATACATACAACCCTAAATTTTCGCCATTCTATCCCTATTAGAAATATTTATATATTTTATATATTTTTGTAACCGTATACCATCAGATAGGCTGAATGCTTATTTGCCACTTGTCGTAGTATAAAAAAAATACATACAACCCTAAATTTTCGCCATTCTATCCCTATTAGAAATATTTATATATTTTTGTAACCGTATACCATCAGATAGGCTGAATGCTTATTTGCCACTGTCGTAGTATAAAAAAATACATACAACCCTAAATTTTCGCCATTCTATCCCTATTAGAAATATTTATATATTTTATATATTTTTGTAACCGTATACTATCAGATAGGCTGAATGCTTATTCGCCACTGTCGTAGTATAAAAAAAATACATAAAACCCTAAATTTTCGCCATTCTATTATTAGAAATATTTATATATTTTTGTAACCGTATACCATCAGATAGGCCGAATGCTTATTTGCCACTGTCGTAGTATAAAAAAATACATACAACCCTAAATTTTCGCCATTCTATCCCTATTAGAGATATTTATATATTTTTGTAACCGTATACCATCAGATAGGCTGAATGCTTATTCGCCACTGTCGTAGTATAAAAAAAATACATAAAACCCTAAATTTTCGCCATTCTATCCCTATTAGAAATATTTATATATTTTATATATTTTTGTAACCGTATACCATCAGATAGGCTGAATGCTTATTTGCCACTGTCGTAGTATAAAAAAATACATACAACCCTAAATTTTCGCCATTCTATCCCTATTTGAGATATTTATATATTTTTGTAACCGTATACCATCAGATAGGCTGTATGCTTATTTGCCACTGTCGTAGTATAAAAAAATACATACAACCCTAAATTTTCGCCATTCTATCCCTATTAGAAATATTTATATATTTTATATATTTTTGTAACCGTATACCATCAGATAGGCTGAATGCTTATTTGCCACTGTCGTAGTATAAAAAAAATACATACAACCCTAAATTTTCGCCATTCTATCCCTATTAGAAATATTTATATATTTTTGTAACCGTATACCATCAGATAGGCTGAATGCTTATTTGCCACTGTCGTAGTATAAAAAAAATACATACAACCCTAAATTTTCGCCATTCTATCCCTATTAGAAATATTTATATATTTTTGTAACCGTATACCATCAGATAGGCTGTATGCTTATTTGCCACTGTCGTAGTATAAAAAAAATACATACAACCCTAAATTTTCGCCATTCTATCCCTATTAGAAATATTTATATATTTTTGTAACCGTATACCATCAGATAGGCTGAATGCTTATTTGCCACTGTCGTAGTATAAAAAAATACATACAACCCTAAATTTTCGCCATTCTATCCCTATTAGAAATATTTATATATTTTTGTAACCGTATACCATCAGATAGGCTGAATGCTTATTTGCCACTGTCGTAGTATAAAAAAATACATACAACCCTAAATTTTCGCCATTCTATCCCTATTAGAAATATTTATATATTTTATATATTTTTGTAACCGTATACCATCAGATAGGCTGAATGCTTATTTGCCACTGTCGTAGTATAAAAAAAATACATACAACCCTAAATTTTCGCCATATAGAGATATTTATATATTTTTGTAACCGTATACCATCAGATAGGCTGAATGCTTATTTGCCACTGTCGTAGTATAAAAAAATACATACAACCCTAAATTTTCGCCATTCTATCCCTATTAGAGATATTTATATATTTTTGTAACCGTATACCATCAGATAGGCTGAATGCTTATTTGCCACTGTCGTAGTATAAAAAAATACATACAACCCTAAATTTTCGCCATTCTATCCCTATTTATATTTTTAAAAGAGATTTTAAATTATATGAGTAAACAACGTTTGGAATATTAGGTAGTAATTATATATTACAATCCATTATCATGTAATAAAAAAAACATGTGTATAATAAAATGTATCATACCTGATTAGTAAGAACGCTCTTGAGTTGTACGCATTCGTCTCGTCTCCTGTCCAATTCCTTCTGCATCACACCCAGTTGTTCTGCAAACGAAAATAATTCTTATTTATCACTAGCTGTACAATTAGTACAAGCACAAGCTGTGAATTTAACGTTATTTTTCTGAAATAAAAGTAGTCTAAGTTACTCCTTATTACATCAGCTACCTGCAAAAAAAAGTCCCGTCAAAATCGGTCCAGGCATTTCAGAGATTAGCCGGAACAAACAGACAGACAGATAAAACTTGTAAAAAAAGTTATTTTGGTGTATATACCGTATTTATATTCATATGCATGTAGTAAAAAACTTTTATTTCAATATTACAAACAGACACTCCAATTTTATTTATATGAATATGTATATGTATCCAATATTAATTTAGGGCCTCGCTGGTCTACCGTTTTTCCGATGGTAGTAGATTCGATTCCTCGCACGTTACAAACATATGTACTCATGAGTATGATTGTTTGTATATGTATGTTTTCTATGTGTATTATGTATTTTAATCACTTTCTAGTAATCTTAACACAAGCTCTACTTAACTTGGGACTAGATGGCGTTGTGTGAATTGTGCTAGGTTATAATTATGGTATATTAAAACGATTATTATTTTATGGGTATGGTATGGGTATGGTAGTAATATGAATTTCCTAGTTGTCTGATACCCCCCTAATAAAATAATAAAACAATTTTCATCCTTGCTGTTCCTTAATCACATTATTTGTGGTATCACGCTATATGTCATCTTCTTCACTGATCCCGATTTCAATGTTGATTATCGCATGTCTCTTACTTGTTATACTGTAATTATATATAAAAAAAAACATCTATTCAAAAGAGCAACACACAAACTTCTTGCTCATTCTTCTTGTGATGCATCTGCATTCCGAATGAGTGGTAGAATCAATATATGACCATTCAAAAGCGCTTGTAATGAGTTTATTTGAATAAAGATTTCTATTTCCCTATCGGCCGTCATATCTGAGCATACACTCCTTTTATACATATCATCTTTCACACAATCTATCCATCTCATTTTCGGTCCTCGTCCTCGTCCTTTCCCTTTTCATGTTATATACTTCCTTTAATACATGATTCTACATACTTAAGTAAATATCCAGACTTACCAATGACTTCCTTGGAGATGAGCATGCTGTCTCCAGCTTCCCGAAGCCTGTCCAGGTGCTCCCGCAGCTTCTTATTCTCTATCTCCAATTCTTCCACCTTAAACCTGTCGATGTTGGGGTTGCTCGGTGGGGAGGCCATGCGATCTAGCAAATTAATAAGAATATATTCTCTACAACAATATCAGAAGAATAATTAATGAAGAAGAATTATTGAACGCATTATTAGTTATGTCAGGTTGACCTCCACGCGGTTCCCTCTGGAAACCATCGTGATATTCCTGGCGAATTTGTCACGATGGGCTAACTAACATGTCCACATGCTATCATCCATTAAAAAAAAACAATATTAGATGAGGGTTTCCACTTACTTTCTTGGTAGAAGTGGTTTAGTGTTACAAATATTCTGAGTATGATTGTTTTTATTGGTCGGGATGTATTTCATATATTTATTCACAAAAAGAAATTATTTACCTATTTCTATCAGTTGTCTATAATAGTAGAGTACCACAAGTTTTATTTAGTTTTAGACTAGATGGCGCTGTGTGAATTGTTCTAAGTGATTGTTATTTTTTTCCGTAATATTGTTCCGTATTCCGAACCTCTTTAGTCTAAGCTGGTTGTATCACCGGCTTGCTTACTGGAGCAAAGGCCGCTCGGTAATAACATATAAAAACATGTGGCCACTTAAATTAAAAAAAAAAATAATAACAAAACAATTGAAAATAAGAACTGGAATTAAAAGGACGCTCCGTATTTTTATCTATATAAAACAAGATAATTAATTATTTATTTAATACAATATAATTGTTTTTGATGAAAATATACACTCTAGAGTGCGTGGCCACTAAACAGTACTACACATCGGGACGTTCCTGAGCAAAGGTGAGTAAGTTTGGTGTAACATTGCTTACTTTGTGTTGAGTGTGGAAGACGTTCTTCCAGGTCGAAATCGTATTTTTATTCCTTTTCCATTAATTATTTTCTTTTCAATAAATACAGTCCACTCTCTCTCTTTCATATATTAATTTAAAGGGTTTTTAATCCAACAAATATTATTCCACCACGCCTGTTTCGGAAAGTTGCTCAGTTCCAAGAATACAATCACAGACTTTCTTCTTTTTTCTTGTATAATACTTACTCATAAGCCGCTCCTCTAAGTCGGCGGCGCGCTTCGAAGTTCTAGAAAGTTCGCTCTGCAACGCCGATATTCTGTTCTGCATACGAAGAACCAGACCTGCATCCGCGATCTGTAGTATATACAATAATAACTGTTTTAATATATACTAGCAAGTCGAACTACTATTATAGTACAGAAAAGTTCTAAGAAATTCGAATATTTGTAACGCAACTAGTATTGCTGCTAAGTGAATTAAAATACTTTAAAATTCTCTGCTTTTTGTACTGTGATAAGCATATATTATACATATAAACGTTCGTGTTGAATCGCTCTATGTATTACTGAAAAGTGCATTGAAATCCAATCGAAACTCACAGACAGCGACGTTGATTTATACAAACTTTGTTTTATACAATGTAAACATATATATAATATATATATCTTAATCTGACTAATATTATAAACGCGAAAGTTTGTGTGTATGGACGTTTGTTACTCTTGCACGCAATAACTACCTAACGGATTTTGATGAAACTTTACAGTAATATAGCTTATGCATCAGAATAACACATAGGCTATATTTTAATTGAAATTTAATGGGGGTGAAACCGCGAGCACAGCTAGTGTATAATAAAGATATGTATTATCTATGAAATTGCTACACTCTTTAAACAGAGTCCAAGTGTGTATTGTTAATTTATTATTTATAAATTTATTGTATATGCATGTACAAATACAAATAAATTTATTAATAAATAAACAAAAAATGTTTTTTATCGAGTTACTTAGTTTTTTACACATCATCAATCTCCACTCCCTTCACTCAACTTTAGAAGCATACAATATCGCAGTTTTCCATACAGCAATCAGATAGAAATATGACTCATCACCCTCATCAAGTACAGGAAGAGATTGTAAGCAAATGAAATGGAGTGGTCTCATTGCCAACAATATACCATATAAATCCGACCTCCACGCTGTCTTCCCTGGAAACCATCGCTGTTAATTTCTGGCGATTACGCCATGATGGGTTCATTGACCTGACTCCATTCTCATCCTATCATCCTCTACTGGTGCCTCGCCAGAGTATACCGTTAGCGTAGGCGGATACACGGTTCCATACTCATCTATTGTATTTAATAAAAAATATATACTCACCGGCGCTGCGCCGTTGTGTGAACCCGTAGACCAGTTGACAGCTTCCAACGCCGGCCGTGTGGTCTCCACTGAACGCACCGATCCATAGCCATAATCCTGTGGTATGTCAAGAAATTCATCTATAACTAGTGTATATTAGATCAGAAAAATAATATACAGAATAATTAAAATCTGTTAAAGCTACTGTATCTCATTGTAGCTTGCTGCTACCATCAGGGTCCATAGTGCTTTTTCGCGCCATTTATAAACATATCAAGTGGTATGGTATTATTACCCATATCCTAATCCCTTTCCCGCGCACAGTATGTCAACTGAGGTCGCCCGACGACCTCGTCTACTAACGTGAATGGTGACATCTCGTCCCAACCGCTCCGCTTTAAATTAATTAATATAATATATTGATAAAAATAATATATAAACTTAGTATTCATCGAGTGCAGCAGCTGTGCAAGAATACACCCGCTCTCCAGTCGCAGGTACGTACTGTGCGCCCCCTTTATTTCATTCCATACAGTCCACTTACATTATCCCGCTACCCCCCATTTCTCCAGTGCTCTTATAATAATATTTTGTCACTCTTTATTGTAACACTATGGAATGCAAATGAATAAATAATAAATAAATTATAAATATAAATATTTTTTGTAAAAAGAATTCACTAATTTCAACTGAGACTTTGAGACTGAGCAACTGTAAGACATTTGCGTAGGTATAGTCTGACCTATTACAGGCGCTAAGCAGCTTACTTTGTAAGCTGTATTTTGGTTATATGTTACAGATTAGATAGTGACATTCAAGTTAGGTGACCATAAAGCAACAAGCTACTTTATAATTCGGTATTAGGGTGTGATTAGACAGTGAAACTACAGTTATGTTAGTCTTCTGAAATGGATGAAAATGCTATTCAAGTAAATAGGCCACGGTTACCACAAATATATTTCTTTTTTAAAATCAATGGCAATATAAATACTAGATAGGATCGATCCAATTCAAACTAAATACTCGGCTGAACAAAATATTATTGGTAACGCAAGCGATGTTGTGAGCAAATATAGTAAAAAAAATATTACTAACATCTTCGACTGTAGTCTCCTGTTGGGAGTTGTTGCTTGCATCTGACAGTGATCGTCTGTGCTCCTTGGGCGCCGAAGTCCTTATGAAACAAATTGTAATAATATCTTAATAATATTATAAACGCTAAAGTTTGTGTGTATGTTACTATCTCTTGCAAAAACTACTGATCGGATTTTGACGAAATCTTACAGTAATATAGTTTATACATCAGAATAACATATATAGCCTATAAATTACACGCGGGCGAAACCGCGCGCAGAGCTAGTATATAATATGCCTGGACAATTCACACAGCGCCATCTAGTCCCAGTCCCAAGCTAGGCAGAGCTTGTGTTATGGGTACTACACAACTGATATAAATAATTATATTTCTTAATACTCGTATATTTTCTTGTAACTACAAACACAGTATATTTAGAAAACAGCCAGTCTGATACAAACAAGCATACTTATATTTTTACCGAAGAATCGAACCCGCGACCTTCAGAGTTATCATATCATAGCGCTATCTAGCTTCAAACTAAGATGAGCTTGTACTAAACATTCAAATATTTTTATATATACTGGATTTACCCTTAAATAAATTCAAAACATCTGTTAAATCATATTTACTGAGCAAAGCCTATTACTCACTAAACGATTACTGGGATGACGAGCGTGCATGGCAATAGTTGTTCATGCATGGGATTAATTTCATTTAATGTTAGATATAGACACCTATGTATATACTTGGAAATAAACTGGCTTTTTTTTTAAATAAAATTAAACATTTAATTGACTTTCTTGCCAGTTCTTCTCAATTTGCATATACTGAACTAGACGGTAGGGAAAAAAATAAAATTATAATGTAAAAAATTTGACGTTCATAAGCGGCTAATATGTCCTACATGAATAAATGAATTTTGAATTTGAATAGTTAATAATACACTCAGATATGAATGAATTAATGTTCATTTACATAAATCAATACAAACAGTCATAAATATAAATACCAATATTTACGTTGTGTGGGGTTTGACTCCGGGACCATTAAAAACTGTTCAGAATGTTTGTTCGCTTTGTCAGCAATGCTCCGGATCGAAGCCATTATATCACAGTTATTTAATGATAGGAATAAATATATACATAGAAATATTATATAATATGTATAGAAAATCCGAGACAAATATAAATATTTATATAGTGCGAGGCATCAAACCCACGACCATCGGAAATTAAGCGGTGTGTATGGTCGTCAATAGAATAGAATAGAAAATCATTTATTCAAATAAACTTACATTGAAGCACTTTTGAATAGTCATAACTTTTTTTTTTAATCTACCGCTCATTCGGAATGCTGTCTCATCACAAGAAGAACAAGCAAGAAACTTGTGTGTTGCTCTTTTAAATAATTTATTCTTACTTACAATTTAAGTTTAAGTGTGTGAATACAAACCACCGATTAGCACTAATTCAATGAAATAATAAAATAGAAAAAAAAAACATTCAATATACAACAACTGGTTAAACAATTAATAAGAGAAAATAAGTCATAGTGATTAGAGCAGACCAGTCCACACAAGCAGCACCCGTTCACGAGTATGACGGATGAGCCAGCCACCACTGCGCTCGACCATATTTTAGGGAGCCCAATGACCCGGCCCACCACGCCGCCACAAGTCTGGACATTTTTGTGAGCATGACTACTCAAAACACCAGACCACGTCATAGCTACTCACAATTGCCATCTGATGTTTATAGTATTCACATTTCACATAAGAATGCATGCGGCAATTAATACAAAACCCGCTACGCTTTCATATTTCTAAAATAATTGAATCAAGAAAGCAATGAGATAAACAAATTATAACGTTGTATGCTAATAAACTAGTTATTTACTTGATATGTTGTCGTCTATGAATTCGTCTATCCTGTAATAGGCTTTCTTACACAAAAATTGTTTAATATAAGATTTGAATTGCCTCTCTGTCAGATTTAGTGCAGATTCTGGCAGTTTATTATAAAATCTTACGCAATTACCATAGAATGAATTACTGACTTTGTGCAGGCGGCATTTAGGTAAAATTGCGCGCTTATTTTTATTCGTAAGTTTCTATTTGTACAGTCTTTAAGTTTTCTAAAACTCTCTAAATTCTTCCGTGTATACATGATATTCTCATAAATGTATTATGAAGTAACGGTGAGGATATTTGAATCTTTAAAACACTGACGTAATGACTCTCTTGAACCCATACCATAAATAGAACGTATGGCTCTCTTTTGTAAAGTAAATATAGTATTTATATCGGCTGCTTTACCCCACAGTAGTATACCATATGACATAATGCTATGGAAATAACTAAAGTATACAAGTTTAGCCGTCGCCACGTCTGTTAATTGCCTAATTCTTCTAATTGCATATGCAGCTGAACTGAGTCTATTGGCCAATTTTGAAATATGAGGCCCCCATTGTAATTTCGAGTCCACTGTTATACCTAAAAATAAAACTAACTTACCTCTGTAACGCATCCAATCGTTCCTGCAACTCATATTGAGATGACAACAACTTCTGCCGACTCTGTCTTTCTGCTTCTAACTCTGCGCACAGAGCCTTCTTCTCTTGTTCGTGCTGTTTGTCACGTTCTAGAAGAACAGATTTGTAAGTTGAGTGCTTTAGATCTATATTCATATAATTCCGTTGTTTTATGTTTTTGGAATAACAAACAATCAAACAATACAGATTTTTTCAATAATTGCACCTAAACAAAGTGATGGTTGTTGTAATACGTAAATAATATAAACTATTTTCTAATGTTCAAGTAATTGATTGACATTAACTTAGATTGTGGAATGAACTACCTGCCGAGCTTTTCTCACGAGACTACAGCATGGGGTTTTTCAAAAAGGATATATTAAGGTTTCTTAAGGGTTAGCAACGCGCACGTAACACTCCAGGTGTTTCAGGCGTCCATTGGCTACGATAACCATTTACCATCAGATGGGCCGTATGCTTGTTTGCCACCATAGCAGTATAAAAAAATAAGTAAAGTAACTAACAGACCTTTCCAAAAATTTGTCCTTTGCTCAAATTCTTTAGACCAAATTATAAAAGAATCACTGGAGGCTATTTCAGCCTTCATCTCTGAAGCATCAGATGGGACTACCATGGTACTATGGCACTATTTATAACCAATCATCAATAAGATTATGATGATAAAAGCACTTTTCAGAACTTCCACAACACATATTTACACTACACAATATACACTAAAAATATAGACCTTGTTCCAATTATTTAGTTCAGATAAAAGGCGATATCGTCTGATTTAGCGTATGCAATTATCATATTAAAAGAAACATACAATTTACATGATATAAGCTATCATTAAACGCGTAAACAAATTTGTTATCAGACGCGAACTAATCATAACATTGCGCGCGAATTGTAATTCAAACACTTCAATAAATGCATCCCGTCACGTTATTTGCCAGAAAAACTTGGAATATGTATAATTGGTAATCACACAGACATTCTTGTGTGCTGCATTATCAAATAGCAAGATCGTGACAAATTTGATAATCATATATAAATAAAGGGATCGATACGAAATATTAATTATCATCAAATTTTATCAACGTACACACTTTTATCTAATGTGATATCTAATCAAGAATTATTATATTAAACCACGGTAAAAGCAACTGTCGAATATTATCTATACTAATATTATGAACAGGTAAAGTTTGTGAGTTTTGATGTCCACGGTAATCTCCTAGACTACTGATCCGATTTATTTTACTTAAGCAAATTCATTATTTGGGAGTTTGTATTCACACGAAATTTTAAAAATGTAATATTTTAGCACATGTTTTAAAGACCAAAAAGCAAGCTTTCTGCTCATTCTTCTTGAATGAATCTGCATTAGGAATAAGCAGTAGAATAAAAACACTACTAATATCAAAATTGTACTTATATGAAGTTTATTTGAATAAAGATTACTTCTGTGTCATTTAGGTCTATTGTTAAATATAATAGGGACAAGTACAGTCTTTGAAAATGTGGTTTAAACAGTTTTGAAAGTACTATCCACAGGTCATGTAAAACACGAACTTACTGAAGTTAGCTAGAGAATTTACAGAAAAATATCAAGAAAATGATAATAATAGTAACTCGACCCGTCTTTGTTACAGATCCATCATAACAAAGATCTGTAATTTTAAAAAAAATTAGTAAACAAAAAACATTCCATAGCGTATTCTTTTGTTTATCCCAAACTAAACTTGCAACACTCTTAATATAAGTTTGAATAAATCTTACCTTCTATATCCAAATCGTAGCGTTCCTTATTACTTCTCAATTCCTCGGCTAATTTCTCACTCTCCGCTTCCGATTCTTCTCTATCTTTCTTGTATTGCTGTTCTATTTCTTTCTTCTCTTCGGACAATCGCATATTGCTATCCTTTTCACTCGCCAGTTCCGCTTGTAAAGCAATAATCAAGCTGTCCTTATCATCGATACCGACACGAAGAGTTTTAACTTCAATTTCCACTAATTTTAGAAGCTCTAACTTTGATCTGTAAAATAAAATAAATAGTATGTGAGATCACATAGACTTGTTCACATTCTCCACTTTGCTAAAAATGTTCACTATTATAATAATGTTGGTAAATTATTGTGTGTGAACAATTACAACACAGTAATTCAATACAAATTAAAGTCAAATTTAAATAATATGAATAAATTTCCAAATAATATCAATACATATACAATAATTATATAATAATATAACAGATAATAATATCTCAGGGCAATTCACACAGTACCATCTAGCCCCAAGCTAAACAGAACTTGTTTTATGGGAACTAAACAACTGATATAAATACATAGATACATTTTTTGTAAATATATATACATAGAAAACAACGATGCCTAAACAAACAATCATACTTATGAATCATAATTATAGAAATGTTTGTACCGTGTGAGAAATCGGACCATCATTGCGAATTAAAGCGATGTGCTAAAGAGCTAGACCACTAAGATCGTCATATAACAAAGAAAATTTGACTTAAATATTTATATTTAAGTCAAATTTTCTATACCACGTTCTTCAATTTCGTGACTTGAGCAGTTTTTTACTGGGATATTGCATTGTTTTACTATGTTATATTATATATAAAATTCTCGTGTCACAGTTTTCGTTCCCATACTCCTCCGAAACGGCTTGACCGATTCTCATGAAATTTTGTGAGCGTAGTGAGTAGGTCTGAGAATCGGCCAACATATATTTTTCATCCCCCTAAATGTTAGGGGTAGTCCACCCCTAATTTTTTTTTTTATTTTAAGGCAAAACAACGTATGCTGGGATAGCTAGTACATATACATATTAGTAATGGTAAAGTATGCCAATATGAAATCTATAACACTTACTTTAAGTCCGCAATTTGCGTGTGCAACGGCTCAATACATTTGTTCCTCTCGAGGGCATCACCGAGCCGCTGTTGTAAGCTGATGATTTTATTCTCCAGACCTTTGTTCAGTTTCTTCACATGATCAAGACTGCGCGCTTCTATACGGAGACGTTTGTACTGACGGCGGGCGAGGAAGCGACGTATCTGATAAATAATAACATATTTTAATAACACATAGAATATAATCTATACATATAAATAAAATTGGTGTGTCTGTTTGCAATATTGAAAGAACCGATTTTTACTACATGCATATATAAATACGTTATAGGTATACACCAAATATTTTTTTTTACAATTATTGTCTGTCTGTTCCGTTTGTTTCTGTTTGTTCCGGCTAATCTCTGAAATGGCTGGACCGATTTTGACGGGACTTTTATGGCAGGTAGCTGATGTAATAAGCAGTAACTTAGGCAACTTTTATTTTACAAAAAATCTGTCTCATCACAAGAAGAATGTTACTTTACATTTTTGAATTGAAGTGTGTGAATACAAACTACCAACTAGCACTAGTTCAATTAAATACTCAAATATAGAAAATATTAAATATACAACCAACTGGTTGAGTAAATCAGTCATAGTGATTAGAGCACTCAGACCAGTCACTGCGCTCGACCATATTTTAGGGAACCTAATGACCCTAATGACCCTAATAACCATACAATATGAAATGAACATTTTTTAAATAAGAGAGAGAACTGCTTTAGTGGAGCAGCTCCAAATCGATTAAAACTATGACTAAGTATTCAAAACTGCTTAAATTTAAGTTTATTTGAATAAAGGATATACTATTCTATTCTCACAACTTTTGTGACTTTTTCATAACTATTATTATGGGTGTAGATTAAATATAACGGGGAAAGAACAACGGGGTTTTTGTTTCCAAAAATATATAACAATTTAGATAGGTTACAACGAAATTGTAATTTAAGTAGTACCAGCACTGAAGTCGAAATTAAAAAGAGCACTTTTATATAAAGTTTAAAAAAAAATTGTACATATATTATTGTTAAAATTCTGTAAAAACACGTATTTATGTGTATGTATGTAGGTATGTGAGTATTAAGAAAACTGAGCGATATCTTGCCAACAAACTGTTCTGCAGTTTGGCGAGTCAATGTGTAAAAATAAATGTACTTATCATTTTATTAAATTAAAAAAAAACGGTCGGAATTTGATCGACAATAGAGTTATTTCAATTTGGATATTGACGACTTACAGCCGCTTGTGCGATGACAATCTGCCATCTCAGCTTCTTTGCTTTCTTTCTCGCAAGGTAGCCCCGTGCGTAGCGTTGCAACGTGATTACCTGTAAAGAACATTGTATTATGTATAATGAAAATAAACACTTTTAAGAAAGAATAAGCTCTTACAGGTTTACCTCATTTCTATCGTTTGATTAATTACATCATTAATATACAAAGTAAATACAAATTAATAAAAAAAACCATAAGTTATATAAATTTTGCTGGCATACTTACCGCTTTGACCTTCCTCCGGTCTCTGTACAGTCTCCTGGCGAGGAATCCCCTGCCATACGCCTGTAGACCGATAGCCAGTTTTCTCCATCTTTGGTATTCAACCCTTGCGAGCCATCCACGAACATTCCTCTGGATTTTAATTGCCGCACGGTTACGGCGAACTTCTTGTGCTTTGCTGTAGAAAAAAAAGATATTGTGTGATTTCCTTCATGTAATGAGAATGTCAAAAGCCTATTGACCTCTTGAGAGGTATCAACTGGCCCCACTGACCGTCGTGCGAGGTATCCCCTCGCCCGCGCCTCAGTCTTCTGTCCCCACTGACCGTAGTGCCAGATATCCCCTGGCCGCGCCCCAGTTTCTTGCCCCTCTGACCGACCCGCGGTATCCCCTGGCCCGCGCCCCAGTCCCCTGCCCTGCCTTACCGCCGTGCGAGGTATCCCCTGGCCCGCGCCCCAGTCCCCTGCCCTGCCTTACCGCCGTGCGAGGTATCCCCTGGCCCGCGCCTGCAGTCCCCGCAGCGCAGTCATCAGCCGCAGGTACCGGCGCCTGGCGACGAATCGCCGCACGCAGCTCTGTACGCGCACGCAGTACAGCCGCTGGATATCCGCACGGATCTTCTCCAAGTATGCCACCTGCAAACAGTACATCATTTTTTTATGTGAAGTAAAATAACAAGATATTTGTTGGTGGTCGCATCGTGCGAGCGCAAAACGACCAAATGATCTTTAACTTAAATTTAATTTAACTAGTGATCGCCCAGTAGTCGTAATTCAACCATAATTAATTAACATTCAGTAAGACAAATAATATTAATGTCCGCGCATTTTCATTTCCCTAAAAAAGGGTATAAAATTTCTGCATCACGTATTAATATAATGATCATTAATTTACAAATCCATTAAGTAATAAAAGGGACTTCTTTGTCCATCTTATCTATTAGATCTATCACCAATTCAAATGGGGATCAAAATTACGACAACCTGAGTCGAAACCCTAGCAACCCCAGACTAAAGTAGTATCCGTCAAGCAAGACTTGGCCTTCAGCCGCTCCAGAAGTCCTTCCTTTGTTTTAGAGTACCGACTGCACTAGCCCCCTATCAACCGGTGAAGCTATAAAGGCCAGCTGCAGCAAACAGCATTAGAGTAATCCGAAAAAAATCTTCTTAAATATGACTAATTACCTGTCCGGCTCTGAAGAATATCTTCGTAGCTCCAAACTGGTACTTGTCTGGATCTTTGAGATGTTTGGCCAGTATGCGACCACAAGTGCTCTTGATGTTGGTGCGATCTATGTCTTTGTGAACGCAGAGTAAACGGTATCTGTAAATAATTTTAGGTATATATAAAATTCTCGTGTCACAATGTCAGTTACCATACTTCTAAACAGCTTCAGCGACTTTTAAGAAATTTTATATGCATATTCAGTAGGTCTGAAATCGGTTAGCTATTTTTCTTACCCCTAAGTGATAAGGCTTGTCCACCCCTAACATTTTATATTTTGGACAATTTTTATTTTTTTATAATATGGCATTAAATACATACAACCCTAATTTTTTACCCTTATATCACTAACCCCTATTTTTTTTATACCGCTATTAATTTATATAGCAAAACAACGTTTGCTGGGTCAGCTAAGTAGATATCAATAGAAATAGAAATAATCTTTATACAAATAAACTCATTACAAGCACTGTTGAATAGTCATATTTTGATTCTACCACTCATTCGGAATGCAGATGAATCACAAGAAGAATGAGCAAGAAACTTGTGTGTTGCTCTTTTTAATAGATGTTTTTTTATATAAATAATTACAGTATAACAAGTAAGAGGCATGCGATAATCAACATAGAAGTCGCTACGCACTCATTATTAATGTAATCAGATAATATTGTCAGTGCTATAGATTTAAAGTTTTTCTATAAAAACATTATTATCGTTAACGAATTCTTCAATTTTATAATAAGCTTTTTTGCAAAGGAACTGTTTTATTTGACATATAAATCTTTTTTCTGGCAGATTTATAACAGACTCTGGTATTTTATTGTATTGTAATATTGAAAGCATCAGTGGTCTTATGGCCGAATTAAGATTTTTATGAAAACTTTATTTAAAATCGATTATCTGAAAGTCATCATTGGCTAACTGACCCAACTGCATGCTCATTCCATCATCCTCTACTTGTGTCCCGGTAGTGCATACTATTTGTGCAGGCAGGTGCACCATCCATTATAATCAATTAAAAAATATTCTCATTTACCTATGAAAGAAGTCTTGGTACAACCACCGCGATGGGAAACCAGCCGCTGATATCCGTATGGTCTCCAGCACACCACAGGCCCTGTAAAGTAAAATTTCAATAAGTGAACGCACCGACACAGCCTAGTGGTTATTATCTCATCTTACACTAAAGATAGCGAGTTTCAATGAGTGTGTTCTATTATAAAGAGGTAAAGTTATGAGTTTGAGAAATTATAGAATAATCTCTGGATCTACTGAACCGATTTTGAAAATTCTTTTAGCGTGGGATATAGCCTAACCAATAGGAGCGGAGCTGCAATGCAATATGTATCAAAAACTGAGAAAATGTGGAGCAGATGATATCGCCCGGGAATTAAGTAAATAATTTAAATAAAGTCCCATACCTAGTTATAAAAATATCAATCTGCTTTTATTTTCAGTTATGAATCTTTGGACTTCTCGCGCTACATCGAACGCACTCCTGATTGCGCGTGAAAGATCTTTCACAAAGTAGCAAATGATAGCAAAAAATAATTTCATTTCATTATTATATTAATAAATATTTTCATTTAGACGGCCTCAGTAGTCCAGCAGTTTAGCCGCCTTACTTCCGATGGTTGCGGGTTCGATTCCTCGCACGGCACAAATATTTGTATTCATGAGTATGATTGCTTGTATCGGTCTGCGTGTTTACTGTGTATAATATGTATGTATTTACGAAAAAAAAATATCTATGTATTTGTATTAGTTATCTAGTACCCATAACATAAGCTTTAGCTAGCTTAACTTGGGTTTAGATGGCGCTGTGTGAATTGTCCTGACATTATTATTATTATTATTAGGGTTCTCTCTACTGATTGTCACTATTATCCACGACCAAACAACGCTCGGTAACTTCAATAGTCAACAAGGGTACGGACACCGCGACTGCTGTGTGTCGCGATATTTCGTTGGACAATCTAATGACGGTAGTTGAAAGAACACATAGGTGTCAGCACCTACCAACATTGACATCGCTGATCAGCTCGTTACCATAGCTACTGCAACCATATAATATGCAACCATACCATATTTTTTTTTGTGAACAATATAAATAAATTAAGTTAATTAAAGTCCCGTAGATAGTTATGAAATATCAAATATCTTTTCAATCCAAACCTAAGTTGATGAACAGCCCTGGCGGGATCGAAGCTGAACGATTGCTTGGTGTCGTTGGGCTTGATGCAGCGCACGTAGTGCGGCGTGGTGGCCGACAGTGTGGCCATCAGTGCGGACAGCGACGCTCGGAACTGAGAGCCCACCGTTTGCTTCTGACCGGATGGTCGTTTCACTGGTTGCTGGTAACAACGGGAGAATTAGCTAGGCATTCCTATTTTTTTAATTCTCTCCCTCTACCTCTTTCTTTCTGCATATATCACTGTTTAATTCGCTTAGGGTTATTATAATCCTAATATTTCTCTTGGTTTTTTATTTATTGAAGGGTTGGACTATTATCAGATACTTTAGACCTGTAGCACTGCGACCTATATAGATCTATTGTGCTCACTCTTTTTCAAAGTTCGCTACCTAGATCCGTCAGGCACAAGAACTGAAGGATATTCTTAGGAGTGATGGTTTTTTTTCCTCAGGAGATATAACCACATAAGATGTTTACTTTGTTATAAAAGTGTAATAGTGTCATTTTTAGAGCTAATGGGGCAATTTATTTTAATAACTTGAATGCCAATCATTCTGATGGAAAGTGGCAGAATTTTACTACAAGTATTTATAGTATAGGAACAGATGAATCAGTCAGTCAATCACTGTATAGTATAACAGATAGCACATGATAATAGCACTGCATGCATTAGCACTCTGCCTTATCTATCTTCGTAATCATGCAAACAACTTTGTGCAGTCTCCCTTAGGTTGAATGTATTTATTGTATTTATTCATTCTCTCATTCAATTCACTCATTCATTATTCATTCATTATGTACTAATTTAGTCACTGTCTCATTCTTTCACTAATTCAATCGTTCTCTCATTCATTCACGAATTCAGTCATTCTCTCACTCATTCATTCATTCTCTTATACTTACTGTAAGACTGCCAATCGCCATGTTGGGCTGTCTGCGTCTTGACGGCGGCGGTAGAGTCGCGGACTGGTCTTGCTGCTCCGCGAACATTGTGTGGATGAGACGGCAACTGGTCGCTGACTTTATACATTCCAGCTGCTCCTCAGACACCGTGTCTCTGTTCTTCTCCAGAAAACCACCGGATTGATATTCCACGTTGTCGGCGAAATGTTTTATTATGAACGCTGTGAATCAATACAATAGAAATTTTATCGAATTAGGTTTGGAGCAAGTACATTTCATTACATAATGGATTTATATTACTTTGTTTATTTCTACTACCATTAGCATGTGTGAGACAATAAATATTCAGTGCGGAGACCACCGCTACTGGAAGCATTACAACCTTCTATACCTTATACCATATTGGTGATCAAATACAACCTTTATTGAGTCTACACCCATATTACGACACATATCTACGAGTCGACTGTTTGCATCAGGGCACAGGGCAGTTTGATCGTCGAACAGTCAACACTATATATATCCGAACTCTATTCAATACTTGATGACGCCTCTTTTTATTTCTGAACTTAGAAGCATTATTCTCAGTTAATAAGACAATTTCAATATTATAAATTTTATATTATTTCATAGGTATGTTAGTCTATAAGGTATTTATAATATGGGCCTAGTAGCCTGAAATAAATAAATAATAATTAAAAAACTTAACAAAATGGAAGCATTTCACTAAACTCACCAGATCGGCCGAACCTTGGCTTCATAAAGTGCGGGTACTTGGCACACTTATCATGCAACTTGGACACGAAACCCTGATCCGAGCCCTGAGGTACTCGGCACTCCTCGTCGAGCAGCGCCAGGATACCAAGTTTATCCTCAATCAGGTCTATACACGGCTGGTTGTCGTAGAAGTCGATCATCTTCCATGATATTTCCTCCTGTTATTAATAGGGGAGTTGAATAAATTTAATGTCAATAGATTTTGTAATATTTGAAAAAAAAAAAGTACATATAAAATAATTTGAAACTTGTGTATTTTTAAATAAGGAAATAAAGGTGTGATTTAATATTAGAAAAAAAATCGATAGTGTGACATTTATAGCAAAGGATTGTAGTTAGAAACTTAATATAAAAAATCATATGACCAGAATTCATTCCACTCTTGTGGTGGAAGATTTTGTGATATTACGTTTACAAGATTTTTTTATAAATAAAATTAGTAATTTTTTTATCCAGAGCAAATATATTACTATAATCGAACAGAACTAAACATGTAATACGGGTAGAGTTTACTGTGCCATGGGTATCATATTGCTGTGACGTAATATATGGATAACCAGCTATTAATAATAATAATAATCTCAGGACCATTCACACAGCGCCATCTAGTCCCAAGTTAAGCTAGCTAAAGCTTGTGTTACGAGTACTAGATAACTGATACAAGTACATAGATTTTTTTTTTCGTATATATATAAATTATACATAGAAAACACCCAAACCGATACAAACAATCATACTCATGAATACAAAATATTTATGCCGTGCGAGGAATCGAGGAATAAAGCGGTGTGCTAGATCGCTAGACCACCGAGGTCGTCATACTAATTACATAAAAAGCAGAAATAACTACATACCTTTATATATTCGTCCTGTTCAAGCTTGAAGACGTGCGAATTGAACTGCTGCTGTAGTTTCTCGTTCGCGTAGTTAATGCAGAACTGCTCGAATGAGTTGATTTCGAAGGTTTCAAACCCGTAGATGTCCAGCACGCCTTAATTAAAAAAAAAACATTTATATTAAAACTGAACCGGCACATTTTGTTGTTCTATATAAGTTATTTCTAGATAGGGCTACCCTTATCACCGTTAAGACTTATGACCTATTCTTAAAGATCAAGAAACAAAAAAGTTTATATTCCCGACTAACCCCTAGCAATCTACCCCATATAGGATAATAGTCGTGACAGTATGTCATGTTTATATTATAAATTAAGTTGGAAAGTTAATTTCATTTAACATTACTTGATTCTTTTTCATTTAGTCACCAAGTGATATCATTAGGTATACTTTTTGAACGAATGAAAAGAATGAATGATTTCCCTCGACACTCACCAATGAAATGTTTTTTCTCGTGGCCAGTATCGAGCGCTCTATTGACAGCTCGCACGAGCCACGCGAACTGTTCGCCGTACATTTGTTTGACGAAAGCTATTCTAATTGAGATATGTTCTATAACCTTTTTCACATTGCTTGATATAATACTTGAGTCTTTTTCGTTCGTTACTTGAAGAACGAATGATAAGAATGAATGAATTCCCCCAACACTCACAAATGAAATGCTTCTTCGCATGACCCGCATCGAGCGCTCGATTGACTACTCGTACGCCAAGCGAACATTAGCTTGGTATTTTGTGCATTGAAGTCGTATAAACAAACAAATAACACTATTAAAATATAATTTGTTTCGCCACCTTTTATTTGAGTTACTTGTTGAACGAATGAAAATGAATGAATGAATTCCCCCAACACTCACCAAAGAAATGCTTCTTCGCATGACCAGTATCGAGCGCCCTATTGACTGCTCGCACGAGTCAAGCGAACAGTTCGCCGTACATTCGCTCGACGAAACCTATTCTAATTTAATTTTTTTTAATTTTTAATGTAATACTCTATTCTTTTTCAAAACCAAGTAATATCATTAGATTTACTTGTTGAACGATTGAAAAGAATGAATCAATTCCCGGCCAAGCGAACAATTCGCCGTACATTCGCTCGACGAAACCTATTCTAATTGAATTTTGTTCTATAACCTTTTTAATATTACTTGAATACTCGATTCTTTTTCATAACATTCGATTAATTGACGCCAATGAATGAAAATGAAATGCTTCTTCGCGTGATTCTAATTGAATTTTGTTCTATAACCTTTTTAATATTACTTGAATACTCGATTCTTTTTCATAACATTCGATTAATTGACGCCAATGAATGAATTCCCTTAACACTCACCAATGAAATGCTTCTTCGCATGACCAGTATCGAGCGCTCTATTGACTGCTCGCACGAGCCATGCGAACAGTTCGCCGTACATTCGCTTGGCTAATGCGTCTCTGGCTGCGGCCGCCCGCGGTTCGTCGAGCCTGGACACGATTACTTCGTGTGCGGACGCTATCTTGCGGTGAGTGAGCCAATGACGGAGGTCAGTCGCTGTGATGCCTAATAAGTTGCTTGTCGCTAGCAGATGTCTGTCCCGCGCCTGGCAAACATAGTTTTATAATAAAGGTTTATTATAATTAAGAATCATTAGATAGTATAAAACAAAGTCGCTGTCGCTGTCTGTCCGTCCCTATGTATGCTTAAATCTTTAAATCTACGCAACGGATTTTGAAGCGTTATTATTTTTAATAGATAGAGTGATTCTAGAGGAAGGGTTACATGTACATCCGTGGGAAGCCGGGGCAAGTAGCTAGTTATAAATAATTCACTTAAAATGAGAACTAAAAATATTAATGTATACAAAATTAAACATTCATGAAAACATAAAAGACGGTCATCATCATAATCTCAGCCCGGAAGACGTCCACTGCTAAACAACGGCCTCCCTCAAAGACCTCAAGGATCGGTCTTGAGGAGCTCGCCTCCATCGCTTTACAGCGATCTTGACCGACTCTTGCGAACTTGATAAAATACGGTATATACATATAATGCAGACGGCGGAGAAGTAAAATCGAAGCAGCAACCACGCATAAATGATAACATTTGTTGATTGACTTACTGAACGAATCTAGATGGCCTCAGCGGTATTGGGTTTACATATACACAGATATACAATGCTAGGTATGACTTGTTAGAAAGTATTTTTTATATAATATGGTCTTTTAGTTATTGTATTATGGTTTTCTTAAGAGTCCGCAACGCGCACGTGACACACCTCGTTCAGACGTCCATAGGCCACAGCCGTAGGGAATGAAATTGGCTATAAAACATATTAAAACAGTAAAGCGTTGCTGGCAAACACGCATGCAGCCCATCTGCTGGTAAACGGTAGTAGTAGCAGCTGAAATGGACACCTGAAACACCAGGTGTGTCACGTGAGCGTTGCTGATATATTATCATATGCATGTAGTGAATAGCTGTTAATTTAGAATTACAAACAGACACTTGAATTTTATTAATTTGTATTATTATTTAATAGTTGTTATTATATAATATTTATTATATTAATCTTATATTTACATTTATGTAGGCTCCCTCCTCGCTCTCTTGTCCATCTTCAGGTCCACACGTGGTCAGCTCGATGTTACCCAGGTGTAGGATGCAGGCGAGCACCGCGTACATGTTCTGTTGCTCCGTTTCTGACACACCTGAGGATTTTTTTTAATGACTGTAATGCCACAACTGGTGGTAAGTAGCGCAGCTTTTATATCGTACACTTACAAACTTTAGAAAAGTCCCTCTAAAGTTTAAAAATATGCTGTTGTAATGCTGTTGGCCGCAGCTGGTCTTTTGCGAGTGCAGAGAGTATTGTAATCCCGCGAAAGCGCATTGTAATCCCGCAGAAGGGCATTGATATCCCACGGAAGAGCATTGTAATCCCGCGGAGGGGCATTATAATCCCGCGGAAGGGCATTATAATCCCGCGGACGGGCTTATGATACAGCTGAAGGCTCGACACTCAAGCAGTCGTAATTTCCATCCCCGTTATATTCTACACAGTGATCGAAATCGACAGAGTAGTAGAAGATAAAATTCAATCATGGGGCCTTCTTGAGAAGGCTAGTTACCTAATGTGACGAGAGCATTCCTGGTCTCATTGAATGCTTTCAAGTCATCCACGCCGTCGATGTTGGGACTCCCGCCTTGGTTCAGGTAATGGAATGTATCCTGGTGATCTGGAATGAAGAGTTCAACAATTACTGACGGCCTTTAGCACGCGCAGTTTAGCACGGCGCTTTACTTCTGATGGACGCGGGTTAGATTCCTTGCATAGTAGAAACATTTGTATTTATGAGTTTGATTGTTTGTATCGGTCTGAGTATTTTCTATGTATATTATCTCGGTATTTACTAAAAAATATAAGTATTTATATCAGTCGCCTATTGGCTACCCATAACACAAGCTCTGCTAAACTTGGGACGAAATTAATGCACTGAAATTATGTGGAGTAAGAAAATAGAAGGATGCCGAGCGTTGTTAGAAATATTACAAGTGTTGCTTACACTTGTAATATTTCTGGCAACACTCGCCACCTTTAGCAATAGGACCTAACGCAGTTACTACTGAAGTTAAGGATGGCTGTTGGTATAATAAAGTCCTCGATTGGCGACCGCGGACCGAAAAATGCAGCGTGGGAAGGCCTCCAACAAGGTGGACCGATGATCTGGTCAAGATCCCTGGAAAGCGATCGATGCGAACAGCGCAGGACCGAAAGGAGGAGCATGTCGTGGAGATTTTTGGCGAAGGCCTTTGTTCAGCAGTGGACGTCTCCGGGCTGAAATGATGATGATGATGATGATGATATTAAGTATATTTAGTTCATAAATACCCAAATGCAGCTCCGGCATGAGTCCTCTGGCGGCGCACAGCTGGTAGAAGATGTGGTAGTTCCTCTCTCCCGCGCTCTGGTACACCACACGACTCTTCTCCAGCAGGTAGGTGCGCATGCTCGCGCCGGATATCCGGTACTGGCTGTCGAAGTGTATTTCTATGAACTTGCCGAATCGCGACGAGTTGTCGTTCCTTGTTGTTTTCGCATTACCAATAGCCTGTAATAAAAATGAATAATTTTATTAGAGATTCAGCGTAATAGACGTAAGTAGACGGCCCACATGACGATAAGCGGTAACCGTCGCCAATATAGCAATTGGTACATTGCTAGATTGGCGAGTCAGGTAGACCTCCACGCGGTTCCCCCTCAAAACCATCAAGGTAAATTGCCATTTGCCCAGATGACCTAACTGACCTGACTTCATACTTATTTTATCATTCTCCACTGGTATATCGCCAGCGTAAACCATCATCGCAGGCGGTTACACCATTCCATCATCCTCCACTGGTGTCCCGCTAGCGTAAACAGTTAGTGCAAGTGGTATTTATAATAATCATCAGTGTAAGTATCGACTGGATGGATGGGATTCGAAAAGCCGTCTTTTTTTCACAGAATAAAATATATTTATGACGGTTACCTCCATAATAGGGCTGGAGGCGAGGACTTTCCTCTCTACTTGTGTCTCGCTGGCGTTGCCTCCCACTGCCGCGAAATATCTCATTGCATATTTGGCTGACACTGTCTTGCCAGCGCCCGATTCTCCGCTTACTGTTGACAAAAAGTAAAGTTTTTTTATAGCACTATCAGCTACTCGCCCCGGCTTCGCACGGGTGTACCTGTTTTATATATATAAACCTTCCTCTAGAATCACTCTATCTCTCCTCTAGGATCCTGGGGCCCGTTCAAGTATTACGTAAGCACTATGTGGGGTGGGGCGTCTTTGCTTTGCTTATTTTGGATGGCATTTACTTTTTTACACGAATGGCAACCCTCACATTGTCTTTAATAAAAAACATTACATTAATTGAAAAATATTTACGTAAGCATGGGAGGAGGGGGTAAGAGCTTTGCTTACTTTTGCTGACAAGGGAGATGGGGGGGGGGGGGTAAATAATTGTAATAAGCTGCTAAAATATTTGAACAGCCCCCTACAGATGATGTATAGATTTGTGTGTAAATAAAAAAAATCTATGCTTAGTGGGTTGATGTTAAACAATGACTCACCTATGATACTTTGATCCCTGGTTTCCCTCTCCAGTTTTGTGTAGGCCTCTTCGGATACAGCGAAGATATGCGGGTCCAAGTCCCCCATAGATTGGCCCCGGTAAGCCATAATAGTTTCATCTCCTGTGGAAATATCAAAATGTACAATAAATAACTGTTTATAGCCTTTATAGCTTCATCTGACGAAAATTGGGGCGATTTTTTTCTAAATATTCTAATGTTGGACGTAGCTGATCTTCACAACTTCATCAGACTATAAAGGGGGCGAGTGCAGAGAATACTCCAAACCTACTGAACGACCTTTAGAACGGCTGAAGGCCAACTCTGCCTAAAGAATTCGAAGTCTGTGGGCACCACTAGTCTATCTTCACGCCATATACCTTACGGGGTAGACAGAGAGAACCGAGTCCGAGGTTCTGTTCATATTTCATATCCAAATCCCTTTACATAAAATAAAGTTTTAATTCCTGAATCAGGTACCACAGGAAGTTACATCAAAATATATAAAAAAAATTTAGTAAAAATTAGATATACAGACTCAAAAAATATACAGTATAATTTTATATTTAGATAGTACGTCATAATCGCTTAGGATGTATAATATCCGTCGTCGACTGATAAATAATTATTATATACGTTGGTACACAAAATGTTTGTTTGGTATTTCAGCATTCCTTTCCTTTACCATTCCAAATACTTAAAAATAATAGTTTTTTTTTTAAGTATTTGGAATGGTAAAGGATTTAATTGTCCTCCTGATGGAAAGCAATAACGGTCGCTTATAAATATATAAAAAACCCTGTACAATTAACACAGCGCCATCTAGTTTCCTGGTAAGCAGAGAGAGAGCTTGTGTTATGGATACTAGACAACTGATTTAAATATAATACTTATATATATATATATATATTGTCAATATATACATAATGTATATAGAAAACACCCAGACCGATACAAACAATCATACTCATAAATACAAATGTTTGCACCTTCCGAGGAATCGAACCCGCGACCATCGAATCACCGAAATATCGAATTACTATTACTAGGTCATGTAACTATTTCATATTATATTTATATAATAATTCATATTATATTATTATATTAACATCTATACGATAGCACTAGAAATGTTTTATTTAAATAGGAACAAATATCCAACCATCTATTGAAACTGACTTTCGCGGTTATAATATTAGTAGCTTAGTAGAGTTGCGGCCTCTTTGACAGGACTGCTTGCTGGCCGCTTATAAGACGTAACTAGGACAGACTGAACAATTGACAAGAGAAAAATACGACAGAGAAAAAGACGGACGACAAGATAGGAATTTTCTAATTATATTTTATTATACAAGCTCTCTTTATTATCGACGACATTCTTAACGGTCGCCCGACAAGCAGGCCGTTCAGAAGAATTAATAGGTTTAGTAGGATTACTGGGATAGTAGGATTAGTAGAATAGTAGGATTATTGGTGTAGAAGGATTAGTGGTAGTAGGATTAGTAGAATAGTAGGATTATTGCGATAATAGGAATTGTTAATAGTAGTATTAGTAGGATCAGTAGGATAGTAGGATAGTAGGATAGTAGGATTAGTAAATTAGTAGTATTAGTGGGATGCGCACTCACCGTAAATGGGTAAATCATAGTATGGATTGATAGCCACCAGCACGATGCCGCAGTATGTGTAGATGGCGTTGCGGTCGCAGAACCTGTGAAGCATTTCAAATTAATTATTGTAACTAGTCAAACAAATTCTCCGGTGATGGTAAACACCTATAACTAATAAACGACAATCTGACAGCTAAACTCATTTGTTATTAATCCACTGGTCGCAATATATATGTATTCAATTATTACCGGTTACTTTTGTAGGGATCGAACTCACGACCACTATCATGATAATGAAACAGTGTAAATTTCGCAAAAGTATTACTGGATTCTAATAATACCAGCTGAGCCCGCCACTTCATACCAGTTGTATTCAGAACAACAATAGTTTACAACTTTTTTGTTTGTAAACTAATAAAAAAACACTAATTTTTAAGTGGAGATACCACAGTATATTAGTTAAAACCGCATCCGAATCAGTTAAGCCGTTTCACAGTAAAGCGTATAAAGACAAACTGAGAAGCATTTAAAGAATCATTGTTTTAACTATTACGTTTATAAAGTTCCTTTACTAACTTTATTACAGAGCAAACAAATCACACAGCGCCATCTAGTCCCATGGCAAGTAGTGCTTGTGTATGGGTACTAGGCAACAGATATAAATACTTGGATATATTCTTTTGTAAATACATAAGAAAACACTCATGACTACAAACATTTTTACCGTGCGAGCATTCGAACTCCTGACCATCGAAAATAAAGCGATGTGCTAAACCGCTAAATCACCGAGGCCGTCAATGTACGTCTCATGTATCTTCTCTTCCAGACAGTGATCAGTTACACTTTAATTTATATTACGTCATGTATATAAGTAATACAAAAGTGTCTTAACTAAAATAATCAAATTTTTAAATTAAACTTTAAAGTAATAACTTTAGAGTGTACATTCGATAATTTGATTTTATTATTTAATCCTTTATTATATTAGGTGTGGGGTATGACCTTTTCTTCTATTCTTGTTGAGGACTGGTTTGAAACCTGCTGTTAATTATATTTGAACAGATGCCACAAAATCAGCACACGTGTAAGTGTACAAATTAAAAACCGTCACACTAGTTTGTCAGTTCGAAATTTAAATAAAATAATTAAACTAGTTTCTTTAGTCCATGTCCATTTAATTTGTTAATCGAAGCGATTATGATATTGTTTTTAATAAATACTAGCGCGTGGTACGAATTTTAGTGCAAACTTTCATCCCCTATTTTATTTTACTTCCTTTATTTTAAAACTTTAAATGTTTTATTTATTTATATTTTATTAACAGCCTAAAAATAAGTTTCAAATGTCTAGCTTTAGAAATTACGGTACTTCCATAAAACCTTTCATCTCTCGCTCAGATGCAAGTTGTTGTTTTTCGCATTAAAAAGTAGTCTATGTCCTTTCTCAGGGTCTAGACTATTTCTGTACCAGATTTCATTTAAATTGCTTCAGTAGTGATGGCGTTAAAACGAGACAGACAGATAGAAACAAAGTTACTATCGCATTTATAATATTAGTAAGGATTGTACCTATATGTTTTTTATATATAAATGTTCTGTTAACGTAATGATTCATAGAATTAATATTATTGAGATATTTCATTTAAATCAGTTCAATAGTTTATGCGTGAAAGCGAGACAGACAGCCACAGAGTTACATTCTCATTTATAATATTAATAAGGAAATGTTGACGATATTTTTTTATTTAAAAATGTGAACTTACAAGGATTGTTTAAAAGAGCAACACACAAGTTTCTTGCTTATTCTTCTTGTGATGAGACAGCTTTCCGAATAAGCGGTAGATTTAAAAAATGTTGACTATTCAAAAGTGCTTAAATTAAGTTTATTTCAATAAATGATTTTCTATTCTATTCTATTTAAATATATAACAATAACATATATTTCACCACCATTATCCCAGCGGTAATCATGGCCAACTGTGGACATTGCCGTTTTAGTGTACATATAAGACCAATTAAATTTCCTTTGACCTTTTAATATCGCTCATTACATTTGAATATGGGATATAGGGTGAGTGTATTTGGGTTTGTTACAGATGTTTCTATCGGCGAAGAGTCACGTCATTTTCAGAAATTAGAATTAAGACACAGTCCTCTCATTATTGAAAGATTCAAGACCTTTATCCTAAGGAGGTTAAGGATCAGGATCGTACAAAACATTTAAATTTTCATTTTTGATAAAAATAAACTTTATGTACTGTAACTTTAAAGTTCATATCAGTTCCTATTTATATCCACTGTGTGTATTGTGTATTTTATTTTATCCTGTGTTCCGTTATCCTGTATTATTTTGATATTTAAATTTTCATTTTTGATAAAAATAGACCTTATATACTGCAACTTTAAAGTTCATATCAGTTCTTATTTATTTCAACTGTGTGTATTGTTTTTTTATTTTATCCTGTTGTCCTCAACCTACCCTCGAAACCGCAGCTGACGTTCACAATGCTTCACAATACAACTACCTAAACCTTATAAAAACCTTAACCATTATAAAAGTTTTCAACTGGAACGAAACTAGTCAAATTCACATGTTCCTGACTCACGGGCCAGAGGCACTAGCCAGTGTAAATTTCATATCTCATCCACTGGCCCAAGTGATCAATTTAAAATAGTCGCGTTATACCTACTCAACTGCCACGTTAGAGAATGTTGCATATTTATCTGTGCATGACTCATTGCATATTAATTCGATAGGCATACGAACAGATACAAATGTTTACCCATAAAATTATTATGTTTTTATGGAATTTACTTCTAAATACAATAATAGCGCAGGACAAATCATTGCAAGGCCAACTAATTCCAAACTAAAGGGACTTTGTCTATGAGTTTCACTATGGCCATTAATGTTTAACAAACAGATTTTTTAAAAAAATACATACATAATATAAACCCAAACACTCAGATTAATCAATACAAACAGTATGACTGAATGTTTACTTGTGTGTGTGGCTTATTATCAGGCACGCCGTCAGCTTGTTTGCCGTGCCTCTACTTATTTTGTTCTGTGGGCGTGCCAAGTATATAAAATAAAAAATACAATAGCTGACCTGGCAAACATTGTTTTGCTATAAACATTGAATTACTATTACTGCTAAATAAAAATATTGCTTAATAAAAAAAAATATTGTTTAAAAAAATTTGGGGTGTACCTGTAGTGTTTTTTATTTTGCAATGGTGGCAAACAAGCATACGGCCCATCTGATCATAAAAGGTTACCATAGTATATCGACGCATGAAACACCAGGGGTGTCACATGCATATTGCCGACGCTTAAACCAAGTGATACTTACCTAACTTTAAGATTATGCAACACAGCTGGCTCATGGAGGTATGATAGAGAAGTGAGATCATTCTGGCCAATCAGTAGTAATGGATTCCTCAATGGGGGCATCTGTTTCTCATCTGTGATCTAAAAATTACAATACAAGAAGTATAGTAAAGGTAATAAAAGCCAAAGAGTTCCCTTAAACCTACACCCGGGTTACAAGTCACAGAAACACTCGGAGGTTCTCTCAGCCAAATGATAGAAACTGGCACAAATATGGTGATTCAATGGAATCTTAAGAAGTTCGTCTATAATAACCCAAGACAATCACTCAGCCCTATCTAGTTCCAAGCTAAGCAAAGCTTACATTATGGGTCCTAGACAACTGATATAAATAAATTTTTTTGTAAATATGCATGTACATAATATACATAGAAAACATCATGACTGATACAAACAAACATACTCATTAAACAACAGATATAAATACTGAAATACATTTATTTTGTAAATACTTATGGATTATCTGGGCATAAATACAAATAATCATACTCATGAACAGAAACCATGCGAGGAAATGATCCCACGAAACAAATCAATCAGAACTAAGGCGGTGTGCTAAACCCCTAGACCACCCACACTATCAAATCAGTCATTGAGGCAAGACAAAGTACAGAAAAAAGAATAAAACAATAATGTTTATTTATTAGCGGAAATTAAAAAATCATTGGCTTGCATAAACCGTCCAGTTATAGACAACAGAAAAGAAATTATTCACTTAAACTATACACAACACTTGGTAAACAAATTAAGAAATATGGTACCCTTTAAACTACCTGAGAGTACATATATGGACAAAAAGGGCAGATTCAAAAAATGCATTATTGAACAGTTTACTAGATATGAGGTTTTAATTTTAAAACACATATATTTATTATTATTAAAATATATTAGGTCAGTTATTATTTATTATTTGTCAATCAGTTGTCTATCAATTGTTCTCATGTCATAGTCCTATTAGCGGCCAGTAACCAGTACTGTCAAAGAGGCAGCAACAATTATTTTAATACTCTGTGGTATGAGAAGTTTTTTAGTAATAATTAAGAAATAAAAGAAGTGTTCTATCCATTTTATAATGTACTTTTCAGGTGATAGCTACATATGCATAATAAATTTTAAAAAAACTCTGTGGTACAGTTATCCATCTTTAGTAGTAAGTTATTTTTTTAATCTGATACTGAACAATGTGACTTATGTAATTTATGTTTAGTATAGACTTGTTTTTCTATAATAAATTAATTAATGACAACTCAATAAGTAGTGGTCAGATCAAGAGCACTGGCTTTCAAATAATAAAAAAAAATCGAAATTAATTGACAGAGAAAAGTTCTGAGGTAATAAATAGAGGCATAAAAAATACAGTTTTTTTTTAAGTTAAAGACGGCGTGAAAAAGTGCTAAAATCTTTATTTATTTGAGATTGTCTTTCTACCTACTTTAAAGAGAAGGAAGTAATGAAACAGACATGTTTGTGTGTATGTTTCATGTTAATAACAACAAATCATTTTGAAAAATACTCCCATATTCATTTAGTTACACTGTACTCGAAAACTACATTATTAGCTAGTGACACAAGTAGCATTCAGTATGGAAAGTGCAAATACTCATAAATATCATAATCACCTTTATTTGTCGTATCTCCCCAGATTGATCGAGTTTGACTATGAGGACCCCAGAACGGAAGTCCGCTACTACTGTTGCACTCTCCCATACTGTATCCAAATTCTCTACCCATACTTGGGCATCCTGCAATGTTACAGAAGTTACATTATAATGTCATTATTTAAAAAAACAACCTACTAAACTTTATGGTTTTATTCAAATAAATAATGAACAATGATTAAAAAAAAATTGTAAAACACATGTATGAGATAAATAATCAACACTTAAATATATTGAAATAGATGACTATTATGTTTTTATGTTTACAAATTTAATGCACTACTCTTCTAATGAAAGCATTAAGCGTTAAATAAGTATGATGATGAACGTAAGCTGGCAGTTTAATGAATATGCAATCAAGATCCGTAAAATAGTAAATAATTCATGAACAAGTGGGTAATGTAATAATTTCATGCATTGTGACATAGATAGTAAAAGTACTCTAATCTTTTACATTTATGGGTCATCTCTCGGCATAGTAAACGTTTACTTTTGTCCATATGTTAAAAATAAAAAAGATAAAATGATAATTTCTGGGCAATAAAATTTTATTATTCTAAATTCAAATAAATTAAAAAACCATTGAACGTACTGGCAGAAAATAATGATAAAAAAATTACCTTAGTGTAAAGCTCTTTCGTTGTCATTTTGATTAAAGTATTAAATTATTTTTAGATTGAATTAAATTAATATTCATAATATTATTTCACCACGAGTTTTGATATTTGTAAATACATTTTATAAATAAGGTAGATTGCAATTTGTTAATTTCCCGATGCGAAACGTCACTGATGTATTGTTATTGACATTTTGAAACAGTGTTATCAGCTGTTATATCATTCCAATGTTTCCGCGGATATTAAAGTAATAATTCTGTAATAAGTAACAATATAACTTTTCCGGGTCCCAATGAGAAACATTAGATTCCATTAAGAATCTCATAGGAACGTAAAAAACATACAACAATGCTGAAAGTGGAGAAAGTGATTATCTTTTTATTCCCACGTGTGTTGCCATATCAAATTATTAAGAAGTAGGTCAAAGTATGTTCCGTTTCATGCTTATAGTATTTCATGTACTTACAATTAAAGTTAGAAAATTTAGAAAGGAAAGGGTGTCAAAGAAAACAACAATATTTTTTAGAAGTATTTATTAGTATACAATATTTTTAACATATGAAATCCAGCCTATATTATAATTGATACGCCTTTTTTTATGCAAAAAGTTTTTGAATGTTGCTATGGCGTGACTTATAATATACCCCACAATGTGATAAAATTCTACAATCTTGATGATGCACATATTGCCAAAAGGCAATTCTCCAAATCAATTATGAGTCCCTCGTTCTAATAAATTAAACGACGAAGCGAATACTAACTTCAACATCTTAATTTACTTTCATTGAGTGAGACAAGTACACGCCATTATTCGCAATACATCAAATGAATATATCAAATCGTTCCCAGTCCATTGCGATTGCAGTTGTCATTAAATATTTATATTAGACTAGTTTAATAAAATTCACTTGTTTTCTTGAGACGGGAACCAAGCCTGGCAAGCTTCTGTGGCAATCTCACACAGTGCCGTAAAAGTTTTTCCCCGGGAATCGTATTCTGAAAAAAGGTACTTTATTAGAAAATCTTAATATGAGAACTTTTAAAATTTACGGATTAATTAGATAGACAGATTAGAATATCAGTATATTCTATAGCATTGGGTTATTGACTATAATTATATATTCTCTAATATTTGTTTCTAAACTCCTTGGAAACGGCTTTACCGATTTTTATGAAGTTGGTCTGAGAATCGGCCAACATTTATTTTTCATACCCCTCTGTGATGAGGGTAACCCAAATTTTCGCCCGTCTATTACCGACTTCTATTTTTTAATAGCGATATTAGTACTTAAGTTTTATATAGCAAAACAACATTTGTCGGGACAGCTAGGGTTTACAATAAATCCAATTGGAATTTGTCAAAATGAATATACCATCTGAGAGTTTACAAAATGAAGCACAAAATCATAATCGCTGCGCACACAACTGACTATCTTTCATCATCATCATTGCCTTGCCTTTATCCCATTATTTGGGGTCGGCGCAGTATGTCATTCTCTTCCACTGCTCTCTATCAGTCGTCATATCTAAACATACTCTTATTTATTCATATCATCTTTCACACAATCCATCCATCTTTTCTTAGGGCGTCCCCTCCCTTTACATCCATCCACATTCATATTATACACTTTCCATAAGACATGGTCCTCATTCCTCCGCATAACATGCCCATACCAGCTCAATCTGTTACCTCGCAACTTTTCTATAACCGGCGCAACTTTCAAACTTCCTCGTATATACTCATTCCTTATTCTGTCATTCCTGGTAACCCCACACATCCATCTTAACATTCGCATTTCTGCCACATGCACACGCCTTTCGTCCATCCCCTTTACGGCCCAACAACTGACTATCTTTATTAAAAGATATATTTGTTTCATACCGGAAGGTCCTCTTTTGCCAAACATTATGCCGTTCATGGGCGCGTTTTTGTAGTTAGCTTCGCTGACGCCAGCAAGGGACAGAATTACAATTATGGCGCAGACAAGTGCCATTGTGAACCTCAGCATGTTTGCAACCATCTGAAAGGAAAATAATTTCTATTAAAAAATGTTAGTAACCAACTTTGTGCTATAACTTGATGCAATTATTATTAAATATGAAGTGAAACTTTGTTAATCGTTTCTTTTGCAACAAATAACCTATTAATTTAAAGGCGATTAAAAATAGGTTCTGGACCTATTAATGAATGAATTAATGCGTAGTACCTTAGCGAAATAGAAAATGAGTTATTAGTCTTCAAGCATCTCAACAGATCTTCATAAATTATAGCTAAGAACCATCTTGTTAGGTCAAACAAAAAACACATCAAACATTTTTGAAACTATGGTGCCACAAACAGACATATAAATGAGGTAATAAGTGCTACTTTACTTTTTAAAATATTAAATATATTTATATATATGTTTCATTATTATTTACTAAGCATATAAAGGTAGTAAAATATTAATAATTAATATTTCTAAAACGTAGTAATTAGTAAAAATTGTTTTCTAAAATTACCTTTGTTTATGGGTAGAGCGCTTCTACTGGTAATACTGCTGAAGGCTGCTTGTCAACTGATGGAAGGATACAATTTTCCCGCCATTTTATAGCTGCTCGAATCTGGAAACTGGGATGGTCCTTCGATTATCGGATTATTGGATGTTGACCGCATATTGACAGTGTTAGATGGAATAAATCGCATGGGAATTCATGGGATTATAACTTGGTTAGTGCACGCTATTAGCAGGGAGATTGAAACGTAGTTTGTTTTCTTTAACATATTATTAAGTGGATATGTTAAGGCAAAATATTAACTGATATATTTAATCAACATTGTAACGAACTCCTTGATAAGTTTCTATACTATTTTTAAATTTTATAATAATATACTTTTTTTTTTTTTTTTCCCATTTCGTCCATCTCCTTTTCAGTGATGGAACAGGCAAAGATCCTTAGACCGTACAGCCTAGTCTACTTTTAAACTTCTTCATATTATTATAATAATATACTTTGATATATTCTTATTTTTTTGGTTCGGTTTTTCCCTTTTTAGGGAAAGGCAAAAGGACTCAGCCCATACAGCCAAGACATATTATTTGTTGTTACATCCTATTGTATATGGCTGTCATATTAGTCGCATTTTATTTTATCTCCTTATTTTCCTTATTAAAACCCTCAGCACCTCTCACTCATCAGACACTTTAGACACCTCCGCTTCGTACATCATACCAAAGGTAGATTTTTAACAAAGTCCTTTGCGTGAGAACCTCCATCTCATTTCTACCATTAGCATATAGTCCTAAAATACGCAGAACTTGTATTTAACACTGATAGGAATACTTACATCCATCCATATAATTATTTGCTAATATATTACTGAATATCTAACTGTATAATACGCAAATAAATTTCATTTCGTTTCAAAAATCATACCGACTCGTAAATACGAATACTTGTACCATACGAGAATCGAACCTGCGACCATGGAAAATAAGTAATACTAAACCGCTAGACCACTGAGGCCGTCAATATTATACTTATTACAGAATAAATTACTGTTTTATTGAATCGCCCTATTAATATCGAAGCGTACTCTTGCAAAGTGCAGTAACTCCATAAATGAGAAGAATCCAATCCAATACATAATTTAATACCCATAATTTGATTGTTCCTCTTATGAGCAACGGCAAATATTGTTGAGAAAAATTATTTACAAGCAATATAAAAGCAGAAGGATCAATGAGTGCAGTATCAGTTAACATTTTACTTCGGCGTTGTGAAGTTTCTTGTGATTATTTATTGTAAGTTATTATATTTAGGATTTTATAGGTTATATATAAAAAAAACTGTACTTAGTACTATTTTTATTACAAATGAGAAAAAAGTTGCGTCTTATTTCTATAAACACTAACCCTATCTATATTTATTATATATATTTCTATAAAAACTGATCCCGCAAACGTTATTTTACCATATAAATTAAAATCACTACGCATATATAACAGAAATAAAGTTAATAAGAGCATTTTAAAAATAGGCCTTTTTTTAATCTACCACTCATTCAGAACACAGACTCATCACAAGAAGAATGAGACAGAAACTTACGTGTTGCTCTTTTAAAAAAACATTTCTATATATTGTTCAAACATATTATATTATTATTATTAATATATAGCAGTGCAATAGCTCCACATTAAATTTTTGGTTTGTTCTGTGGGAACATCCCGCTGGTTAACAGTGGCACCAGTACGAAAAAAGAGAGGACACTTCTTAATAAAATATTAATTCATTCAGAACTTAAGAGCCACGCTCTTGTCGGTGGAGCTCTTGCCACTTTCCACGATCTTCCTCATGGTCTTTAAATGTTGATATTATACGACTCTCATTTTGTCTTTAATTTGCTTGATGTAGCTGTGCCTTGGTCTTCCGCTCCCCCTCTTTTCTTCTATTTTTCTCTCAATTATAATTTTCATTAACTCCTGGAGTCACATGAAGTGTACATTTTTCCTCGTCTATTTTCTATTGTATTCAATATTTTTATAATAATAATAATCTCAGGACAATTCACACAGCGCCATCTAGATCCAAGTTAAGCTATAGCTAAGCTAGCTTATGTTATGGGTACTAGACGATTGATACTAATATATAGAGATTTTTTTTTCGTAAATACACACATATTATACATAGAAAACACCCAGACCGATCCGAACAATCATACTCATGAATACAAATGTTTGTGCCGAGCGAGGAATCGAACCCGCGACCATCGGACGTAAAGTGGTGTGCTAGACCACCGAGGTCGTCGAATATTTATGCCTTTTTTCTTTTACCCTGTGTACTATTTTTTCATTTCTTACTTTATTTTTTAATTATTTCTTTCCATCCTTCTCCAACACCTCATTTCAAAAGCCTCCAGTTTGTCCATTTCTTTTTGATTGAATGTCCACGTCTCGCATACAAAACCGTACTCCAGATATAGGTCTCAATAAATCGCTTCCGTGTGATCTTTGATATCTTAGCACGTAAAAGTTATTTTTTTGTCATTAAATATTTTGTTTGTTATGGCTATTATTGTTGAATATCCGTGGTACATGTAGTCCCTGGTGATTAATAACAGCGTGTATTTACTAATATTTTTTCTATTTCTAGGACTCCAAGATGCGTACGATAATAACTGTCGGCTTTTTGGCGATGTTCCTGTGCCTTATTCAGATTATTGAGGCTAATTACAAGAAACCTCCATTCAACGGGTCTATTTTTGGAAAAAGGGCCAACATTGGTTAGTACTTTCACGGATAAATATTTAATCTTGATAGTGGCAATGAAATAAAATTAATATTTATTTATTTAATTTAGGCTACTAATAACCCATATTATAAAGTCAGTGCCGTGACCATAGAGACAATTTTATTTACATATTTTATTATTATTTCTTATGTGTGTTAGTCTATAAGGTATTTATAATATAGGCCATGTAGCCTGAATTAAATAAATAAATAAAAATAAAAAAAAATCCCTTACAGACTAACATAGATATGAAAGATATTAAATTTAATATTAAATAAATATAAATTCTGTGGTCATGTTCGTACGGTACTTCATGAGTGCCGTGACCACACAGAGATCGGCAATCTGCCACGGTACACCAACCCCATCGGCAAGTAGTCCTCCTTTATGAAGGAACCACCTCCTTTTTGATGGAACCCCCTCCTTTCCATAATCCAATGGCATAGGACCATGAATTGACTTCTAGAGTAGATCGGCTGGAATAGATATTGTCACCGTCATTATATATTTTTTTTAATTTTTTTTCTATTTCAGAATATGACTCTACAGGAAAAGCACTTTCAGCGCTCTGTGAAATTGCCTCAGAGACCTGTCAGGCGTGGTATCAAGCTTTAGAAAACAAATAAATATATAGTTAGACATAAAATAATATCTACAATTATGTATTCTATATATACTTCACTTTTGTATTGTTAATTTAATATTATCTAAATGCCATTGTTTATAATAATAATAATAAACATTATTAGCTAATAAAGTTCTTTTACATTTAAGATATTACGGCGACCCACGCCGGGGTATTGCCCAGCCCTCAAGCTCAGAGGGCCCTCGAAACCTTACCAAAAAATCTCGACAAACAGAACTTTTAAAAATTTCTCCCATTTTCAAAATAAATAGGTTGCAACCCGATTTTAATCATGGCAACTCAGTTGAGAGAAATTTGAAAATTATACCTTCGGAATTCCCCTAAATTGTTTCTGTGGGTTGGCAATGTTCTCAAATTGACGGATAGCGATAAGTGCGTTTTAATTAAACTGTAATGTAATGACAAATAAAAAAATGAGGCCCCACTGATGAGCAGTGGGGCCCCATTTTTTTTATTTGTTCCAGGGCCCTTGTTTACCTAACTACGCCACTGACCACAAACTAGACATATAAGTCTGTACCGTGTGATTCCGAGGATTACTTTAGAGATATTGATACGTTAGTTTGTTTTGTACTCTTAATTTAGGACTGAGTGAAATTTTGAATCCTCTAATTTTGTATTTGTAATAAATTATGAACTCTACATTTTTGTATATTCAAAAAAAGTCAGCATGTGCATTTTCAAGAAGGGTATATTAAGGTTTCTTAAGCGTCGGCAACGCGCACGTGACACCCCTGGTGTTCGAGGCGTCCATGAGCTCCGGTAAGCGTATACGATCAGATGGGCCGTATGCCTGTTTGCCACCATCGTAGTATAAGAAAAGATGAATAAACGAACGATATAGTAATCAACAAAAGAGGTTATTTCTCTTCAATAATAATATAATAATAAGTGTGTTTATTATGGCATCAATGGCCCATTTGTTAGTATTATAAATTTGTATTATAAAACCGGTAAAATCTACCTAAAAACTCTGAAATGGGAAGTCCTACCCCACCCGCTGTAATCTCCAGACATTGCTCCTTCGGACTATTACTTATTCCAGTCGATGACACATGGGTCTGACCCAGCTGAAGTTCACTTCATATGAACAATCCAGAAAATGGGTCGATGATTGGATTGCCTCAAAAGACGAATAATTTTGTCGAGTTGGCATCCGAAAATTGCCAAAAAGATGGAAAAAGGTAGTGGCCAGCGATGGACAATACTTCGATTATTATATTTGGAACCATTATTTGAAAACGAATCCGTAAACTTCGATAAAAAAAGCTCATTATTAATTCAAGTATCCTATAACTTACATATTTTAAATCTAATGTTAGAAAATCCTAATTTTATTTTATTACAATGTATTTAGTAGCACTACACTAACAGTGGTTACAAATGATTACATCTTTACCTAACAAGTACACTAACAAAATGTTGTATAATTGGCAGGTCAAATTTTTTCATCAATGTATTCAATTTTAAAACGCCGGCAATTTATTTTCCTGGTGTTGCGAGTAGATATCGGCGGCGATAATCACTCACCATCAGGTGAGCCGTGAGTTCGTTTGCTTCCAAATTTTCAATGTTATATAAAAATATGATTACTTGTACCTTGTATATGACACATCAATAACATAAATGTGAAATGATAGCTGAGTTTAATATAAGATATATGCCTTGATTGTTGACTTCTACGACAAAAGAGGTGAGATCTAAATGGGTGCCAAGTTCAATGGTCTGTCCTGAAATGTATTTATAACAATATAAAATATCATTTCGTCTTATAACTGTATATGGATAATATACTGTAGCCTAAGGTCTTACCTAAGGTCGTCTTGACACGCTACCGCGTGTCTAGATTACCAAAAAATAAATTGTATACTGAACTTTGCTATGCACTACAATGTCGTATTCATTTTATATATTTGACCCCAGAAATACAGTTACATGTAGTAAGTATTTAAATATAATACTAGCTATTGCTGCGACCTCGTCTGCTTTCTTTGAGATAAAAGAAAGCCTGTGGCTATTGTACAGTACTGTGTCGCTGGTATTTAATCTATGCATCTATACATATAAATAAAATTGGAGTGTCTGTTTGAAATAATCGCTTTTTAATTATTTGCATATGTATATAAATACAGTACATACATACATACATAATAACATTTTTTCCAATTTTTGTCTGTCAGGCTGTCTATCTGTTTGTTCCGGCTAATATCTGAAATGGATGGACCGTATTTGACGGGACTTTTTTTGGCAGGTGTAATAAGTGTAATAAGGAGTAACTTAGGCTACTTATACTAATTTAGAAAAAGATCTTTTATTTTAGAAAAATAAAGTTAAATTCCACTCGAATGAACTCGCGAGTACAGCTAGTGTAGGTATAATATTAGTATGGTTTATTCGGTAATAGCAATATCTAAGTAAACTGAGCGCTAATTGCTTTAGGAGAGTGGGGGAGCGTCGTGTGTACATTGTCCATAAGGATTATAACATAATGGACTTTAACACAAATATTTGTGTTAAGTAAGTACTTACTTACTATTCACTACTTGTGGTCTATTAAGATTGTTTGATTTTAGTCACCATAGAACTGATCTCTTTCAATAAAATTGTTTCTATATAATAATAGCTGTACAACTTCGTCCTCATGGAATTTAACTTTATTTTTCTAAAATAAAAGTAGCCTAAGTTACTCCTTATTAGATCAGCTACTTGCAAAAAAAAGTCCTGTCAAAATCGGTCCAGCCATATCAGAGATTAGCCGGAACAAACAGAAAGGCAGATAGACAGACAAAAATTGTAAAAAAAATATTTTGGTGTATGTACCGTATTTATATTCTTATGCATGTAGTATAAAATGGTTATTTCAATATTACAAACAGACACTCTAATTTTATTTATATGTATAGATTTGAGATACGCACTTTCCTTCTTTGAATGTCGGCTTACACCAACTTGTCCTTTACAAAATGAAAGTAGATATGTATATAAAGCCCTGCTGTATGAAACCCACTACCGTGTTGGTTCTCATAAATTCGGAGAATATTAATTGTATGGACTGGATACGTATTGTATCTCGTTTACAATGTGATAATAAATATATAGAATAATGATTTTTACGTCAATGGGGACTTTTATCCTCTAACACGAGCAACAACGCTAGAAGACAAAAGATCCTAGTCTGTTCTAATGAACCTCACAGCCGCATGATAGTACAAATCGAGACGAATTCCCCAGACAGTATCCAATTCTAACTACATCATTTTATAAGATCCATAGTAGAATTATGCATCTATAATAGAAAATCCCTATATTACCATATATATGATATTGCTTTATAGTGCGAAAAAAGTAAGGGATTAAAAGGAGATGAAAGGTTGTATAAAAATCGTCATTGTTTAATTGAAACAAAGAAACGTCTTTATTTGGTCAATACATGTTGAAAACACAACTATTATATATAAATAAAATAATTATTTGCTAAGTATAATATTTAGAACAAGTGAATATGGCAATAATGTATCCGACTCTTATAATAAATTATATTGTATCTATTAATAAATAAACTGAATTAATATGTAAGAAGAATTAATTAGTAAATTTATGTTATAGTAATTTCATCTTCCTGTCCTTATCCCAATTATTTGTTACTCATATTACTTAAGGTTTTGGCTTTTAGTTGTACAATCGGCCAGCATCCTGACATCAACCCTCTAGGAATAATATAATAAAAAAAAATATATTAGCACTTTGATAATTAAGATAAATCACGTTATTTAAAAAAATCCAATAAGTAGTTTATGTTACTCAGTTAAGTAGAAACATATCACATTATTAATTAAAATATTACAAGGATCAAAATGGTTCATACTAAATCCACACCGATTGAGCTACACGGTTATTTGCGTCTGTGTGCGTGTATTACTGTGTGTGTGCGTAAATCCATGCGATTAAACATAAAGTTGAGCGGCATCATTTTGTAATAGGCCTCTTAATTGATATTGCGTGTAACGGAACGTCTTCAATACATGTTAAAAAAAATACTGTCAGTGTTGCCAACTCGCTCCACAATTATTGAAGAATAGAATATTTCAACCTTCTGTAGATAAGTAATATACAAAACGTCAATTCCAACCGACAACCACTGCGAGCTTGCTCTGCATGCAAGTTTGCAGAGCAAGCTCAATGCAAGTTTTTCTAAGAATCGACATGAGAATCAAACGTAATCAGTAAAATAATAAATATAAGAATTTTAAACATAATTACATAAAAAAAATAAGACCAATTATCCATGTGCGCGATTAACACATTATTGAGGTATATTTAATTACAAAACATCCTTATTTTTATAACTTAGAACTGTTAGTATAGAACAGTATAGAAACTGACAAAAAACTACTTTTATATACCCAACTATAGTTAATTTAAAATTCGTAGACAGATAGTTTTGTCGTGCAATAATTTGATTTAATGATTTCAGTTATTCTTCAATTTTGGAGCTGGCAACTTTGGCAAGTAAATTTGCTTAACATGCTTTACGTAAAATACAAATGTCAAATTGTGCTTCTGTGATTGGTGTAATATTGAACAACACTATCTGACCAATAAAACCGTTGCTGTGATAAGAAATACAACGACGAGATTGGATAAATTTTGTTATGATTATTTGTAGAACTTGTAGAATTGTAAACTAAAACACACGCTGCTAAAATTCTTAATGGCTACATATGTTTTCTTTTACTTTTCTTGCAAACTTAATTTTTTAATTGCTGGAAGAAATGTATTTTCTTTCATATGATTATGAAATAACAATTTAAGATAACCAAAATTGATGGTGCTGTTTTGTGTTCTTAACGTGGCGGGATCGAAACTGGAATTTTAAGGTATTTTTCTTACTAAATCTTCGATTTGCACGCTTAATCAATTTAACTAATTTTTATGCAAATTTATACACAATAATGCCGTCATACGCGTTCCTTACGACTTTTATCTTAAGTTGGCGTGGTTTTCTATCAAACCAGTACTAATGTACGCACTTATTTACATAATATGTGACGACAAATCACTAAATTAAACATTGTAGAATTTACGTTACTAAAAACAAGAGAACCAATTAGAATCTACTTAGAATTCGTAACCTGCCGCAGAAAACCGCATATTGTTATGTCTTGGTGTAGGTACATAGATAATAAAATCAATTTTTTTCCATAGATATTTTTAGTTATTCAATTTCAAATGTTTATACTCTGTCACTCATTGCCTATTTGTATTTTCTATTCAAGGTAAGCAAAAATTATGTACTGTTATTTTTGTGAATGTTAATAAGATGTATGTGTGTTTGTTACTCAGTTACTTTTAAGTCGCTGGACAATTTAGTATGGAACTATAACACAGATAGTTCATATCCTAGATTAACAATGACAAAACTTTTATAAAATTACTTTCTTTTTTATTATTAAAATTTAATAAGTAAAATTGAAACTTAAACTGCAGTTTCTCTGTTCATATGTCAAAGCATTATTACAGAAACTATAATTTTGAAATGTGAAATAGTTTGTCGATACCTTCCTATATAAATATATTTACTATTTTGTTGTTGTAAAATTATTTATAACTAAATGTTATTCATGTACTCAATTCAAAAGTATGTTTTAATATATCTAAAGATAGCACCTCTATAATTAAATCCACACAGCTGTTCACATCGAAGAAAAAGATATTTATAATCAAAATAAATTAAATAAAATTATTATTTCATAAATATTTTACACTACAACCCAAAATCAAAGCTAAATGCAGAAAACAAAGTCTATTTTTGGACATAATTTTTATTCATATAAACTTTTTATGATTATACTATTTTGTTTTATTCTACAAATAAAAAAATTAAAGCTATTGTAGATCCCAGTGAGATATAATATTATGTAAACTATTGTTTACTAGCTACCTGCCCCAGCTTCGCACGGGTTTTCATGTCTTATACATATAAACCTTCCTCTTGAATCTCTAAGTTTTTAGATTTTAAGGCATCACATTAAAATCCATTGCATAATTTAAAAGACCTTAGCGAACAGACAGTGGAAGCGACTTCATTTTATACAGTATGTAAAGTATGTCAGTCCCTGGGATCACAAATTTAATTTTAATTACTCCATTCTGTGGTGAGGTATAACAGACAAATCCATCAAATATTACTTTATTATCTACAATCTTTAATAATATTTATTCAAACATTATGTTACACAATCACTATGACATCAAGCCTTTTAAACAGAGATAAAGCATGAAAATGTATATCTATAATTATTTTTTTAATTAAATTTACAATTAACACATAGATTAGGTTACATTAAATATATTATTAAAACTACATTTAATTTAAAATATGTGTAATATGATAAAACGAAACAAATTATGTGTAGCTATGGAACAATATTTGAAATTAGAACAGTGTTTTAAAGTGTAACATAATGGCAGTGTGTGAATGAAATAGTGGGATTTTTGTCTCTTTTCAGTGTGGGATCACTGAAGACTGCTGTCCCTAGATTTGTTTTATGTGTTACGAAAAATGGAAGAACCGCCACTGAAAAAGGCAAGAGCAGGCAAGTCTGTCACAGATAACATAGATGATTTTATAGATAATATTGTAAAGTCTTCTAAAAACCTGCAACCCATTATTAATCCAGAATTATATGACTCTATAGCGAAAGAGAAAGTTTACGTTGGTCATATAAAGGATGCTAAAGAGTTATCAAAGACAATACAGATATTAAATGACAAAATTCCATTAAAGGAATTTCAGCATTTGAAAAGAGTACGTAATAGAGATGTACTGCTTTGTCCAACGATTTATGTAACTCAAAATTCATCTATACAAGAATATCTGGAATTAAATGTACCAGATTTGAAACAAGTATTTGAATATTTCAAAGAGCTAGAGGTACCGGCCACTGCGCCTAAATTAAGAAGACAGCATATTGAGTGCAATAAGGTTTGGTCGTGTAATTTTCATCCGAATAGCTACTTAGAGAAAATCGCTGGTGATAAATTTTTCACTGCGGCCGAAATTAAAACACACAGAATGTACATGGCTGTTACTTTTGACGTCGCTAAATTTTATATACAAAATTATAAAATGGACGATACAATTAATATTCTTGATGAAATTAATGTCACAGTTGTTGTGAATCCGATAATGAATTCTATTGTAGATGTAGCGTTCGATAATCGAAGAAATCATCCACTCCAGCACTCGACTATGCTAGCCATAGACAATGTTGCGAAAACTCAAAATGGCGGCGCTTGGAATACAGACAATACAGACGCTGTAAACAATAAATTATGTGGTATAGACAAGGATCTGCTTGTTTACTTGAAGCAGAGGTATAACGTTTGTTTTGGAGAAAGAACGTTTAAAAGTAAAGATGAAAAATCGGATGTAGATGGACCATATTTATGTACTGGTTACTTTGTGTATACAATTAGAGAGCCCTGTGTGATGTGTTCCATGGCGTTAGTGCATGCGAGGGCGAAAAGAGTGTTCTTCTGTTTCGATAATACGTCCCTCGGTGCCCTAAAGTGTAAAACGCAATTGCAGAATGTTCCATTTTTAAATCATCGCTTCGAAGTGTTCTCGGGGTTTTTATAACATTACTAAACTTCTTTGGTAAATTCATAATTAAAAAAAGAATTACAAAATACACCAATAAATTCTTATGAATATTGACCAGAATTTTAATATCACGTGACTTTACAATTTAACGTACAGAATTTATTGTCTATGGTTCATTTAAAGTTGTTTCCCGCGCAATTGTATTCTATGTTAATCAAAATAGTTTTATTGAATTATTACAATCTGTTTATTATAGGAATACATTGTATGTACATTATTTTATGATTACAAATTTTGTGATATCAATTTTTGAGATGTTTGTTCAATTATATAAATTATAACATTACTGTTGTTTGCTTTTGGCCATATAAAGTGCTGCCAAATTCGGTGTTGATATAAATAACATATATTGTTGCATGTCTGTGTGAAATGCCAAATATGACTTTTTTAACACTGTAGAACTTGAAGTTCTCCATATACTATCACGATGATGGGACATTTTACCTAAGTAGATTTCGTACAAAAGCGTCAGTGTAGTTACCTAAAAAAATTAACTAGTTGCCTCTGATTACCTATTTCTTTCTCTGTCTCGCCTATTTATATTTATTCTCGCTGACCCGCGCAACTACTCTTATATTTCGCCCAATTTATGTAATGTCGTTTTAAATTATAACCTATGTGTTGTTCTGATGTATAAGCTATATTACTGTAAAGTTTCAACAAAATCCGTTCAGTAGTTTTTGCGTGAAAGAGTAACAAACATCCATACTAAGAAACTTTCGAGTTTATATTATTAGTATGGTTTCTCAGAATAAAAATAAAGAAAAATCATAAAAAATTAATAATTTTTTTGGGGTTAGCCAGCCTTAACACTTAGGGGTATAAAATAATAATAAAATTCTCAAACCTACTGAATATACTTATAAAATATTTTTTTTTTGTGGTGAGCCCGCCCTAACACTTAGCGGTATAAAATAATAATAAAATTCTCTAACCTACGGAATATACATATAAAATTTCATCAAAATCATGTGACACGTGAATTTTATATATATATTAGACTAGCTTTTGCCCGCAGCTTCGCTCGCGTTCATTTATCCCCTTGGGGGTGGAATTTATCAAAATGCTTTCTTAGGGGATGCCTACGTCATAGTAGCTTTATGCATGCAAAGTCTCAGCCCGATCGGTTTAAAATTGACAAAGTTTCATACATACTTTCATCCCCTAGTTTATCCCCTTGGGGGTAGAATTAATCAAAATCCTTACTTAGCGGATGCCTACGTCATAACATCTACGTGCATGCCAAATTTCAGTCCGATCCGTCCAGTGGTTTGGGCTGTGCGTTGATTGATCACTATGTCAGTCACCTTTGAGTTATACTATATATACATAATACATATATATTAGATATAAGCCTTTTTTACCTGATCTAATGTTGCTCTATAACTATGTGAATACAAGTTAAAGTAAATATCTATTACAATGGTGACATCACTGAAATTTCATTTCATCAGTCACAAAGAGGCTGGTAGCCAATTAAGATTGGTATGTATTGATAAGTGTACAGAGTTGTAATTCGAATTGGATGCGGTATTTCTTACGCCAATTACCGTCCACGTGAGCTTGTTCATATGTTATACTAGCTGTTCCCGCGTCTTCGTCCGCGTGGAATTCAACTTTATTTTTTCTAAAATAAAAGTAGCCTAAGTTACTCCTTATTACATCAGCTACCTGCCAAAAAAGTCCCGTCAAAATCGGTCCAGCCATTTTAGAGATTAGCTGGAACAAACAGACACACACAAAAAAAAGTAAAAAATGTTATTTTGGTGTATGTACCGTATTTCTTCTTAAAAGTGGTAGAGCAAGCTGTACGACCACACGTGGTTGTTCAGCTCGATTGGGCCGCTCGAACTGGGAAATACCACACCTCGGCAGAAAACCGGCGTTAAGCGTTATCGCGTTTCGCATGGTGAGCTGTAGGTTCCGGACGCCCCTCCCCCTCCCCCTATCCCTTTCCTACTTCCTTCCCCTACCCACCCCTTTCTTACATACCATGGCAGCGGATTACAAGGGATTTTTACCCCAGGGTGGTACCAGTAACCATGTTACTGAAGAATCCACCCCTGAGATATCACACTCAGGCTGCCCTGCGTATTCTGGGGTGGGCAATACTCCGCTCAATTTGGCCAAAAGGAAAGCGAGCAAATCTCCATCGGCGTTTCCCTTGCTCATAGTCAGTTTTTGCAACATCAGGGGAATTCATTCCAATCTCAACGCCGTTCACCACCACCTAGAGACGGCGAGGCCGGCTTTGCTCTTCCTTACGGAGACGCAAATATCCTGTCCCGACGAAATTTCGTACCTGACCTACCCTGGATATAAATTGGAACACCATTTTATTCCACGGGCCGGTGTGTGCGCTTATGTCAGAGAGGATATTTGTTGTCGCCGTCTTGGTACACTTGAAGGTACTGACCTGTCCATTTTATGGCTGCGTGTAGATTGCGATGACCACCCCCGCATCTATGCATGCTTATACAGGTCCCATAGCGGTAACACCGAAACTGACCGACTCATTGAACACGTCCAAATGGCTACAGATTTTTTGCTCCAACAGATTCCCTCCGCTGAAGTCGTGATTCTAGGTGACTTTAACGCCCATCACGCTGAATGGCTCGGTTCACGTACCACCGACTATGCGGGGAGATCTGTTTATGGCTTTGCTTTGGCATATGGTTTGACGCAACTGGTATCCTCGCCTACGCGAATTCCTGATGTTGTTGACCATATACCTTCACTGTTGGACCTTCTGCTGACTTCTCATCCGGACGGATATCAGATCTCTGTGGAAGCCCCACTGGGATCCTCTAATCATTGTCTGATACGGAGCGAAGTGCCTCTCACGCGTCCTTCTTTGCCGCGATCTATTGGTCGACGTCGTGTTTGGCATTTTAAGTCGGCAGATTGGGATGAGATGCGAAGTTTTTTTGCATCTTACCCATGGGGGCGAGTTTGCTTCGCACTGGACGATCCTGATGCAATAGCTGAATCTGTCACCGATGTAGTACTTCAGGGAATGGAGATGTTTATTCCTAATTCCCTGGTACCTGTCGGTGGTAGATCTCAGTCCTGGTATGGCGGATCCTGTAGATCGGCGTCGCGCCATAAGCAGGAATGCTTCCGTGCCTGGATTGCAGCTGTGAAGTCGAGTGATCCAGATACCAGTGCCCATAAAAGGAAGTATAACTTATTGAGGTTTATAATCTAATATACCGAAAAAGAAATAAATGTCAGTTACTTAGTAACGGTTGTTTGAACAGAATACAATTTTATGTTTTACACTGCATATCTTGTTTCTCTAATATGGTAGCAGAGCGGTAACAATTACGATTCATACACGCAAATACTCTTCAAAATGACTTCTTCATCGTTAACTATGGATAAATTGTCGGGAATGGCAAATTACGGCAATTGGAAATTCCAGATGAAAATGACACTCATACATGAAGATTTGTACGATTGCGTTGTTGCTACTAAAAATGGAGAACCCGAATGCATGGATAGGAAAAAGCAAGAAAAAGCATTAGCGAAGATATGCTTAAGCGTACTTCCTGCCGTCTATTCAAATGTTAGAAACTGTGAAACAGCATTTGAAGCGTGGAGAAATCTGCAACGTGCATTTGAAGACAAGGGTCTCTGTAGAAGGTTAGGTCTTCTAAGAATATTATTCTCTTTGAAGCTTGAACAACTTCAAGATATGGATGGATATCTCACAAAAATTACGGATATCACTCAACAACTCCAAGACATGAATGCTCCTCTCGATGATGATTTTGTCGCAGTCATAATGCTTAGTGGACTCCCGAAGGATTTCGACCCACTCATAATGACACTAGAAAATGCAAATTTAACTCTATCTAGTGATCTCGTTAAAAATAAATTGCTACAAGAATCACAGAGACGAGATGGTACAACAAGCTCCGAGTACCCTGAGGAGAAAGTTCTGGCAATTTCAAAACGTCCTATATGCTACAAATGTAAAAAGGTTGGTCACTATGCCAAGGACTGCCGTAAGAAAATATCAGGTAAAGATAAGCAACCAAAGTCGAGCAGCAGCTCTGGTGCAGCCAAGAGTGCAATAATGCTGTCGGTCCTATCAGCAGATGTGAAGTTTGAGGGTTGGTATGTCGATTCTGGTGCGTCTTGTCACATGTGCAACAATCGGCAAATTTTGAAAAATTACGTCGAGGACAATAGTTTATATGTGACAGTAGCGAACGGAGATAAAATAAATAGTGTCGGTCGAGGTGATACAGATATTTTGGTTAAAGATGGTATAAAAACTCTATGTGATGTGTTTTATATTCCTAACTTGTCATGTAATTTAATGTCTGTCAATGTTTTGACACAGCGAGAATATCGTGTAATTTTTGAATTTGATTTATGTAAAATATATAAAAATAATATATTAGAAGCGATTGCAAAGCGGGGTAATTCTGGTTTATATAAATTACAAACTGGGTCTGCATTTGTAAATTCCGTTGATCGCGTAAAAAGTACAGTCATGTCTGTGTGTAAATCTTCAAATATTAAAAATGAAGTTCAATCTCACGTAAACCAAGCAAGTCAAGGTATCTGGCATCGACGTTTGGGACATTTAAATAGTCGCAGCATGAGTTTACTCAAGAATGGTATGGCAACTGGCATTGACTATAATGTATCGTCATATGAACAATGCATCTCCTGTATAGAAGGTAAGGCTACTAAACTACCTTTTCCTAAGAAATCGTTTACACGAGCTAATGTTGTGTTGGGTTTAGTACACACGGATCTATGTGGTCCTATGCAGGTGAACTCTTTTGGTGGTGCAAAATATTTATTAACTTTTATTGATGATTTTTCTAGAAAAACTTTTTGTTTTTGTATTGATTCTAAAGGCAAAGTTTTTGAGTGTTTTATGAAATTTAAAGCTCAGGTAGAAAATGAAACAAATAAAAAGATTAAAATATTGAGAAGCGGTAATGGAGGCGAGTACATGAATACTCGATTTAAACGATATTTGAGTGAGTGTGGTATTAAACACCAAACTACAGTCCCTCACTGTCCACAGCAGAATGGAGTCGCAGAACGCGCGAACCGAACTATTATGGAGGCGGTGCGCTGTATGTTACTCGAAGCCGGCCTTGAACAAAAATTCTGGGCTGAAGCAGTATGTACTGCTGTGTATGTCAAAAATCGTTCTCCTACAAAGGCCGTCAGAGGTTTTACTCCAGAAGAACGTTACTCTGGAC